GAGACAATGCATAACCAAGGCGCATGGCTGTGTTCCAATAAAACTTTATTTATAAAGCTGATGGCAGGCTGGATGTACCCTATGGCTACAGCTTTCTGACCCCTTCCTTAGAGGCAGGAATGGGTTAAAAAGAGCCCCTCTACTGACTCCTCCCAACAATTCAGACTCAGAAATTAATTTTTTTGCTAGGAAAAGTATACCTTTGTCGTAATTACCCGCCACATTTTCTAGCATTTCCTCTGAAACATTTCAACATTTACACAGCTGTTCTACACATTTGCGTGTCAGAATTGGCCATTCAAAGCTTGGGAAATGGGTTTTCTCTTGTTTCAATTACCACAAAGCAAGCAGGGAGGAGATGTAGCCACACAGGAACACTTAAGACCACTTCCAAGTAAATATGTGCACAGCCCCTTCAGAAACAAGAGGAAGACGGGCTCAGGCTTGCTGGTAAATGTGATTACCAAGCTGAAGCATTCACTGGTGAACAAATGTGTTTCTCTTGATGATATCATTATTTCTTAAACAATTTGGTCTTCAACTCTTGGATATTCTATATATACATTTAAATGGATATTATATGTAAATTGTACATCAGCATTTATAATTTTGCTTAACCAGTATTTTATCTAACACTCAGACAAGACATTGGATTATTTATATGGTACCTGTTCTGATATTTAACTATCTTAAAGATTTATTAAAGAAACAGTTCTCTCTTCCCCCTAACTTATACTAGACGGAAATGAACGAGTAAAAACCAATTAAAGTTTGTGGCTTTCTTTAAAGATAAAGTCGAATCAGAATTTATCCATTTAAGGACTCCTAAATAATTTTCCTGACATAATGCATGTCATGTTAAATGATCTGAGTGCTTTGTTTCTTCAACGCACATGTTGTTGTTAAGTGCTGTCGAGTTGGTTCTGATCCATAGCGATCCTGTATAGGATTTTCAAGAAGCAACTCGTGAGCTTGAACTGCCAACCTTGCGGTTCAAGCCAACTTTGCAATCCAGCGCATTAACCCAACAGCACCATGCCACTGCTTGTAAAATCTTCAATATAATTTTTCTCAAGATAACATACTTTATCTACTTATCTACTAAAAAAGTGAAAAGGGGATGATTCTTTTTTTTATTATTGTTGTTTTTTATTTTTTGGGGGATGATGCTTTTTTAGGCATTAAAATACTGCTCACAAATGTTCTAGAAAATATTGTCCAATTTGTGTGGGGTTTTTTTTCCCCCACATACAACAAAACTGAAACAGAACTGTAATTAGAGAAATATAAATAATAACTTTGAAAAATAAATCTATTTTCTTTTTTTTCTCAGCACTATTGACTGCTGCCAAGTAGCTGGGTTATCTATATACAAATTATATTTTCATCTACCTTCCGAGATAAGCTGCTAACGGAAGCAAGGAATGGTACAATTACAGTCAAGTTTCTCTAGAAAATCTATCTGAGAACATTGTTGTTCCAATGGTTTACCATCCTCCTAGGACCAGAAGGTAAATTAAAAATAACAACAACAACAAAAGAAAAACATCCTTAAAAGAGCAATTTCCCCGTCATGAATTGATCCAGTTCTACAAAGCATGTTGTTTGTTTGTTTGTTTGTTTAAAGGAAGACAGACAAGATGCAGAATCTTTCTCTTCAAGGGATGTAGCCGTCAGACGCACAGAGGCCAGCTAGTCGGGGCCCAGCTCGTGGTCGGTGAAGGACAGGGAGCTGAGGCTCTCGGCTCTCTCACAGACCCCCTCCTCAGTGTACACGTGAGGCAGGTACCTGGGCTCGTCCTCTGTTGTGTCAGCATCATGGAGCCTCTGTGGAAAGCCAGAAGAGAGAGGTCGAGCCCGGATGCAGTCCTAATGAAGGCAGGTGTCACAGGCCCATGGGGTCAGAAATGGTGGTGGAGCTGAGGAGAGTGCTGATACCATGTGAGTCTGAAAGGGGGCTGTGACTGTGGGGTAGTCAGAGGGGTCCCCTCCTGAGAAACCCTCATCCTTCTGGCCTCTTGTGGGCTCATTCACCACCACGCCCTGATCCCCACTTGGACAGCTGTTTCCTCTTTTCTACAGCTTCATTCTCTCTCTCCCTGGGTTCATCCTCCTGACCACAGACCCACCCGAGTCCATTCTGGCTCTGGTTACACACGGCTGCCTTAACTAGAGGGTGGTCTCCATGCACTGCCGCCATCGCTCAGTACCCAGGAGCTCCTCATACCATGGCTTCTGGGCTTCAGGAGGCTGGGAGCTCCAGCCATGGATCGATTCCATCATCCCCTGACCAAGAATGATACCACCTGCATCAGGACAACCCCTCTACAACCACATTCAGAGCCAGATCTCCAGCCCATCTCTGGACACCCTATAAACTGCTGAGACTCAACAACCTGAAACAGAGTTTGCCCCAGAACCCCATGACCACTGAGCCTATTCCAACTCACAGCCACCCTGGGTGGCAGAGTGGGAGTGCTCATTACGGTTTCTAAGACTGATCTCTATGGAAGAAGACTGCCTCATCTTTTTCCCAGGGAGCAGTTGGTGGGTTCCAACTGCTGACCTTTCTCATAGCAGCTGAGCACTTTAACCACGGCACTACCCCTAAACCAGCTTCTCTTCCGCTGCTATCCCACTCCTCCATGTATCCCCAAGTGTAGAGCGTGAGTTTCATTTGAGGGGTCCACCAATAGCCTGTGAGAGAAATCTGATCTACTGCCTCTCCTATATAAAGTTGTATTAGAGCACAACCGTGGTCATTTGTTTACGTATTGTCTGTGGCTGCTTTTGGAGTCCTGGTGTAGCACTAGATGATAAGCACTGGACTGCTAACCCCAAGGTCAACAGTTCAAAACCACCAGCTGCTCCTTAGAAACCCTATACAGGGTCACAATGAGTTGGAACCAACTCAATGGCACTTAATAACAACAACACAGGTGCTTTGTGCTACAAGGACAGAGCTAAGCTACATGCAACACAGACCATCTGACACAAGTAAGAAATGAATGACTATTGCATTGAGCGCTCTAACTTGGGAGGTGTTAGAATGGTTCACCTCTCCAACTAGCCCACTTCTCCCAACCTCCAACTTCTGTTGCTGCCGAGGTCCACCCTCCCCAACACAGCCAGCAGAATGTTTTCTAGAGCTCAGCTCTGCACATTAACTCTCCCATGTCCATAACCTCAGTCGTGGTCCGTGGTCTCCTAAATCCCAAAGCTATTCCAATCCCAAAGTTCAACAGACACCACTTCTTGAGTAGGGTCAGGCCTGTGTTCCAGTCACAGTCCCCACTTGTGCCCTGAGTCTCTCCTCTGACCCTTCACCCCTGCCTTACCCTCCCCTGGAATGGGCACCCACACCTGCCAACCTCAACCTAGGAGCCTCCAGGCCAGCTTGCTGGGCCCGCCACCTGTCTGAGGCACCTTGTCTGTTTTTGTCTGGTCTAAGCAATCCCATAAGCACATGCTGCATGAATGGATGAAGGAGATCACAGGACTGTAGGTGTATTGTTCACCTTCAGCCATCTCTGGGTGAGGGGCTGTCTGGAAATGGTCTTGGTGGGCAGGGTCTCTGAGTCCTCCTGAGCTCTCCACCTCCTGAGAGGATACACTCAAATACAGCACAAAGATGGTCAGGATGCAGGACGAGGGCCGGGAGGATGAACAGGGCTGAGGGGTTCTAGACCCCACCGCATCCCACTCTTCAGGACCACACTGCCCCACACCACCAGCAAGTCTGGCAATGACAATCCCCAACTCCCTCTAGTCCAGAGAAGGAACCCATTCTGAGATCGCGCATTTCACTAACAACACTGAGTCTCAGCTCAGACCCACATTTGCCTGTGGACACCTCACCTGATCCCCTCCCCTACAGTACCAGGTGGCCATGTACCCTGGGGAAGGATGCTCCCACAGCCAGACACCCACAAAGATCCTTGGCCAGTGTGTTGGCAGTCTGGGCACATCCTTCATGAGGAGGACTAGGTAACTAATGATGGTCGGTGTGGGCAGGGGGGCTGGACTGTGCAGGCTCAACTTCAAAACTCCCAGGGCGGGGACAGGAGCACGCTCTGACCCGATTCACAACTTTTGAGGCCCCATAAGATCAATAATTCATCACAAACCCCCAGCCAAGTTAGAAGGCTCACAAGGAAAGAACTAGGCCTTCTAATCAGTTGGTTGTTTTTTTTTTTTTTTTCCTCTGCTCAAAACACCAAGTGCAGAGCTCTGAGCTTGAATTGCAGAAATCTGTCGCTGCCTGGTGGGGGGACCCACATCTCTGCCCACAAGGTCCACTTCGCATGGGCTGTATGTGGAGGGGATGCACACATATGTGTGCACACATATACACAAGAGTTGGCCAGATGGCACGTAATAACCATCATGTATTATTTTATCTACACGTCTGTGTACAGGACTGCGGTGACTTACATGTTGCTGTGATGCTGAAAGTTATGCCACTGGTATCTCCAGTACTAACAGGACTGCCCATGATTTCACTGGATCTTTCAGATTAAGACAAGGAAGAAAGGCCTGGTGATCTTCTAAAGACGGGCTAATGAAAACCCTATGAACCACAACAGAATAAAGTCCAGCACGGTGCTGGAAGATGAGCCCACTGAGTACACAGTGACCACAACAATGGACCCGAGCACACCTCACACCAATGATAATGAACCACGTGCAGGAGTGGCCTGTTGTGTCTGGGGCTGCCCTGAATGAACACAGCAGCAGCCATAAAACATATGGAAAATAACAAAATTGTGGCCGATTGAACCTGTCCTAGGACACACTCTCCAGTATAGTGAAGACACACCAGGGTGACTGCGATCCACATGCTCAGCAGAAGCAAGAGGTGGACAGGTGACCACAGCCTTGGGCCAGGGGAAATCACAGTCGGTGAGACAGAGGACATGGCTCTGTCCACCGGGCAGGCCCAGGATGGGATGTTCCTGCTGCAGGTAGAACAGCGAACGGAACAGGTTGGTCTCTCTGCCCTACTTGCTTCCTCCCTCCTGCTCTGCCCCCACCTCCACCCGCCAGCCTCCACCAGCAACTGCAGCAGCAGAGAGGTGAGAGAATGACTAGAAGCGGCTTCTGTGAGGTTTGAATGTGAATTTGCACACAGTCCGCCTTGCGTTCGATTTCACAGAACGTATCAGTGTCACAGATGTACGCATGTAGAAACTGTTAGATTGGCCTGTGGAAAATCAGAGGCCCCTGAAGGACCAATAAGGCACAACTATCAGGGCACAAAGCCCTCACAATGCAGGGTTCATATATCACCTTTGTGCAAGAGAGAGATTGTTATCTTAGCTCAAATGCAGTCTGAGCAAAGATACAGAATTATAAAGATTTTTAATTCTTTATAAGAATCTCACCATCATAAACATTTGATACGATACCACCGTGGTTCCTGGGTCTCAGATACCCCTTTCAGATCTCTATCAGAAAAGTAAACTTGTGCTAGGACACTAGCTAGTTCATTAGAAAACCAAATAAGGTCCATAGTTAAGATTTGTTCCAACATCAGTCCTCTGGTTTAGATAATGTACTTCCTGCTACGGACTGAACTGTGGACTGTCCCATCCCCCAAATATGTACCAACTTGGCTGGGCCATGATCCGCAGTAGCTTGGCAATTAGGTTGTGATGCCTTCATTGCCCATGCTCTGATCAGCCAACCAGTTGTAAGAAGAGTAGGGGGATGCAGTACCTTGATCTCTTCACAGCCCTGATCCCATGTAAGGGGGGTGTATGGGGGGGGAGGGGTGGCCTGCATCCCCTTTTATCTAGCAAGAGATAAAGGGAGGGAAGCGAGCAGAGAGAGAGGACCAAAAGTAAAGCATGTCCTTTGGACCTGGGGTCCCTGTGCTGAGACACTCCTAGACCCAGGGGAAGATTGATGGCAGTGACCCTCGCCCAGAACCAACAGACAGACAGGTTTCCTTCAGAGCACTCTGAACTCAGACTTGTCGTTTTCAATTGTGAGAGGATTAATTCTGTTTGTCAAAAACCGTCCACTTGGGGTATTTCTGTGGTACTTGAAAAGCGGAAATGTGCTTTGTCAAGTTAGTGGTTGCATTTGATCCCAAATCAAGATGGAAGTAAGTATTCGATGGGATGCACATAAACTACTTTTGTGTGTACTCTAAGGAGTGCTGATGGCACTGTACGATAAGCAATGGACTGCTAACTACAAAAGTTGGCAGTTCAAACCCACCAGCCGCTCCACAGGAGAAACACAGCGCGTAAAGGTTTACATCCTCAGAAGCCCTGCTTGCTGGCTCTGGTGGCAGTGAACTTTCGGGATTTTTTAGAGAGATGGGGGAAGGTAAATGGGTGATGAGGCAGGCCTGTTCTCAGACATTCATCGACTGTCTCCTAGAATCTTCTGGAAGGTTCACTGCTCAGGGAACTAGCAGTGAGGCCACCCCAGCAGAGAGCCCAGGCCTGTGACTCACCAGGATCTCCACGGCCGCGTGTAACAGGCCTGAAGTATCAGCCATCAAGGGGGGCTTCTCATTCACATCCTAGGGGAGAATGTCGATTTACTCAGAAGGTAATGCCCACCCTCCCAGCTGTGTGCACCCTTGCATACCTCCCCCTGCTCCTGTGTACACAAAACCAACATGAGAATGAGGGGGGTGCAAAGTGGAAGAAGGGAAGGAACCGTAGAGATGATGAAAAAGGCAGATGGTTGTAAAATAGAACTGTGTGCCAATCCCAGACTCAGATCCCAACATTCTCTTGCCTATGACACTGGGTTGTCATTGTTGGGTGCCCAAGAGTCAATTTCACATCAAAGCAACCCCAAGCACCATGAAGTTTTCTAGGCCCTCATGGCTCTGGGAGTTAGGCGTTGGGCTACTAACTACAAAGACAGTAGTTCAAGCCCACCAGCCACTCCTCATAAGACAGATGAGTCTGCCAGCTCCCATAAAGATCAACTGCCTTGTAAACCCCATAGAGGGTCGCTATGAGTCAGAACTGGCTCGATGGCAGAGGGCGGACTGGGTTTCATCTTTACAAATGCAAGTCTCCAGGCTTTCCTCTTGGGCAGCCACTGGCGGGTATGAATGACCAGCCTTTGGGTTAGGATCCGAGCACTCAGTGAGCCCCCAGAGATGTCTGAACACTGTACTACACATGGCCAAGATCTAGAAGGTGGCCTAGCAGATGAAGCTGTTTACATTCAGGGATGGGAATGAGGCAATGTTTGCCATGGATTTCTGTTTACGTGAACATAGGCTCCTTCAACAATAAATAAAAATGTTAAAGAAAAGGAAACAGGCAATGGGCCTTAGCAGTGGGTTTGAAGCAGTGTTTTAAATAGCAGGTTCCCCAATAAATCACAAGTGACAGCTATGTTCAGCCCAGAGCTGAGTAAGTTTACTCAGCCAGTCACCCCGTGTGCATCTGGTACCTGTAGGACCTGTGAGGGAACCAGGGAATGAAAGCTGTAGGCATTGGCTTCCTCCCACATAGGGTTCTGGGGGGAACTCAAGGGGATTCTCTCTGCAGTGTGTGTACCCCAGGGGTGCTCAGTAAAGCTGATCTATTAGGGGCTTATCAGGACAAGCGCTTCTTCTTGAAGAAGTCTGTTGTTGTAAAGTGCCCTACAGTGGATTCTAACTCATGGTGACCTTGTAGAGGGTTTCCGAAGAGGAGCTGGTGAGTTTGAGCCACCGACCTTGCGGTTAACAGTTCAGTGTTCATTTTATAATGCGACACCAGGATTCCTTCATTAAGAAGTCTGGGGATGAGTTAAAAACCAACTGCCATCCGTAGACTCTAAACTGTGGAAACCCCATGGGGTTCTCAGGGGCTGACTGTATAGAAGTAGATCACCAGGCCTTTCTGCAAAGGCACCTCTGGACCAAAGCCCCCAACCTTTGGGCTAGCCATTGTGTGTGCCACCTGCAGCCCATGGAACTTTTGTGGGACCAAGAAGGAGGCAGCCATTTCCCAGGAGTGTGCAGGATGGGTGGACAGAGCACTGGCTAGGCTTGGGCCCTGTACTCTCATTGGCCAGGCACCCAGGGGGATAAGACACAAACTGCTCAACATTATAGAAGGGAATATTTAGCTGTTTGAGGGAAACAGGATTTTAAATAATATTGAATTGCATATATGGTGAGATTATTCCCTAATCTTTTTTTAACTGCATCAAGGGGCTAGCTCAGTTTGGTGTTAGCATCTCCTCCCTGATGCCCCTCAAGTACCAGTTACTGTCCCCTTTTAACTGACAGAGGACTCCCCTCCCCCTTCACCAACAGTTTCTGCCTGTGTCTACTTTCACACCTGGACACTCACCTGCCCTTTTTCTACAAGTAAAACTGGATTTGGAATAACCACAAGGTCAGCGGTTCAAACCCACCAGCTGCTCCTCAGAAACCCTAGAAAGGGTCACTGAGTCAGAACCAAGTCACAGCATTCAATGACAACTGAATTTTGCTTTATAATTGTGATGCAGTTGCCTTTTTAAATAAAGTCGGTTTTAAATAAATATAGGTTCCTTTAGAAACAAATGTACTTAATTTGGAAATGAATCCAAATTTAAAGAAAACAAATACTACACAAGTGGTAAGAGTCTCTGGATAGTACAGTGAACACCCTGGGCTGCTGATGCAACAGTGGGAAGCTTGAGTCCATCTAGAGGCACCTCAGAAGAAAGACCTGGCAACTTGAAAAAATCAGCCCATTGTGGCGAGTGGGAAAGTGTCTACAGAAGGCACTTCTGTTCTGATGCATACTCCAACTCCCCTCACTGTGAGCTGGAATTAACTTGACAGCTACCAGTTAAGGTTAACACAAGTGGTCTTTGTATACAGCCCTGGTGTGGCACTGTGGGTTAACGTACTGGACCGCAACATAAGTTTGAATCACAAGGTCGGTGGTTCAAGCTCACCAGCTGCTCCTCGGAAACCCTATACAGGGTTGCTATGGGTTGGAACCGACTCGATGGCACGTAACAAAAACAACAACAGTGTATATGGCCCATTATGGAGGTGGCACCCAGAGACTGAAATTTGGGGCACACTGGATGATCTGACACAGGTGTTATATGGGAGAAAATGTGACAAGGAGAGGCAAAGGTATGTTGGTTTGAGTGAAATCTCAAGTCACACAGGGCTTTGTGGGTGGAGGGGTAGCCAGCTTGCAGGCAGACCTTTCTAGGTGTGGGCGTGGGTGTGGGAGGAGCAGCCAGGGTGTCCATGGAAATGTAATCACAATCACACCTTGGTTTGAAGCCAAGCAGCAAGTAAACTGGCCTTACCTTTGCACCTGGCCTGGCCCCGCCCACAGCTGTGTTGACCTGCAGGACTACTGTTGGATCTCCGACACCTGTGCATACCTGTGGAATAAATGGAAAGCAATATGAGAGGGCTGGCAACAAGCCAGAAAGCCATCTGGTGGGGGTAGGGGCCTGGAATAAAGCCAGAAGGAATTTTTCCACAAACTTTTTGAAAACGCTTTATATAACAGGAGGGGCAGGAATAAAATTAGAAAAAAATATGATGTGTGGGGAAAGACTGGAATAAAACAAACAAACAAAAAACTCAGAGTAAAATGTCTCCCACAGGCAGATTGTGTCTACACCATCACAGATACCTTCAGACACCTGTCCCAGGGAGAAAGAGGCCTGCCTCTACCTCTAGATGCTTTATTTGAGGCGGAGGGAAGTGTGTTATTGTCTATTTGGTCATTGTGGGATGAGCGGACAAGTTTTATGTTGTGCAGTTTTTCGTGTGAAGTGATGGTAAAATCTGGACCCTGAAAGCTGTCCCCATGTCAGCCTCCCAACACGGATTCATGGGTTCCTGCTGCCAGGCAGCATTTTCAGCACTGCTTCATTTATTCCTCATGCAGCAGACTGGGGGACTCGGGCTTTGACGTGTGCGGGGCTTCTTGGGCTAAGGGCTCATTAGCTCCTCCAAGGAGAGGGCAGATGTCTACGTAGTTCACCCTGATCTAGAAACGTTCCTCCAGTTCAGTGGCAGACTAGGAAAACGTGGGCGGAATCAGCGATAGCGTCTGGGATGAAGTGAGATGCTGCAGGGAACAGAGTGTTCCTGATGGGTGGGGGTGTGGCCCTGTAATACTATAGGAATCCTGGGGTGGCGCTGTGGGATAAAGCACTAGACAGCAGTTCGGTTTGAACTGCAAGGTCGGCGGTTCAAATTCACCAGCTGCTCCTCAAAAATCCTACACAGGGTCACTGTGAGTCAGAACCGAAGGCACTTAACAACAAGTACACAATCAGGCAGGGCAGACAGGTCAAGAAGCATGCATGTGGAGATGGTTGTTATTGATGGTGGTGTCAAGTTCTTTCTCCTGTAGGAGTGAGTAGAACTGCCCCACAGGGGTTTCTAGGCTATAGTCTTGTTCCGAAGCAGCTCTGGTAGTATACCAGATGACAAACTGGGCCGCTAACCGCTAGGTCAGCAGTTTGAATCTACCATTTGCTCCCTTAACAACTCTGTATGGGGTTTCCAAGGAGCAGCTGGTGGGTTTGAACTGCCAGCTCTGTGGTTTAAAGTCCAGTGCTTATCCTACAGCATCACACATCAGTGGTTAAAAAGTTATTAAATATTGATTAAAGTTGATGATGTTACTATGACAACCACTTTTATCGAATGGGACTCCCTGGCTATTGAAAACATTTAACATGCTCCACTGTTAACTGCAAGGTTGGCAGTTCAAGTCCACCCAGAGGAGACTCGGAAGAAAATCCTGAGAATCTACCACCTAAAGACCAGTCATTGAAGACTCTAGGGAGCTCAGTTCTGCTCTGACACACCTCGTGGTTGCCAAGAGTCAAAAACAACGCGACAGCAACGGAGGCGGTTTTATTTTGTTATAAAAGAAGGCAGAGGCTCCTTGTCCTGAATAAGAGTTTCCTGTCCCTCAGACAGAGCCAATCTTGGATCAGTGCCCTTTTGTCACCCCCAGCCCATGTGGCCTCAGCCCCAGGGTAGGCACAGTCCCCTCCACGACTCAGCTTCTGTCCCTGCTTCCTCCTCCCAGGGTACAACCACTGCCCTCAACAGTACCCAGGTCACCCCCTTTCCTTCCAATGTCTACCCTCACATCTACTCCCCCAATATTCACCCCTGCAACCTTCACCCTCTCCAACATCCACCCTCCAGCACCCACCTGCCCATGTCCACCTCCACACTTACCCCCAATGTCCACCTCCTCAGTGTCCAACCCCCTATGTCTATGTCATAATGTCTACCCCTTACATCCATCCCCAATACCCACCTCTCCAACATCCATCCTTCCAATGTCTACCCACCAACATCCATCCCCCCCCATGTTCACCCTCCAATGTCCAACCCCCTACATCTATACCACAAGACCCCCAACAATAGCTACCCCCCATATGTTCACCCCCCATACCTATCACTGTAACATCCCCTCCAAGGTCTACCTCCATCATCTCAGCTCTAGCCCCCTCTAGGCTCAGCAGCCATAGCCCCATCCCACCCAGAGGGAGACCGAGACACAGTCCTAGAGCAGTTCCACAGGATGGTTGAGCGTCAAAGCAGAGACCTGGTGTATAAGGTAAGGGCTCCATCTGTCACACAAAGGTGTCAACACAGTACCTCTTAAAACTGCAAATACAATAAGTTAGCTGCTTCTCTCCTTGTTGTGGGGCTCGAGGCTGCTTTCATGGACTCAAGGCTGCTATCTATGGACTGTGCCTCGGCCTTCTTATTCCCATGCCAGGCAAGGCTAAAAGAAGAATGTGGTGGGTGAACCGATCTGCACATGCACAATATGACCTAGTGTTGTTACGGCCCCCTTGCCTTTCAGTCTGTAGCTTTACTCTCGTCTCAACTAGGAGAGAAAATATGGAAGGAATCCTAGAAGTTTCTGTTGACCTCCAACTTGGTCAACCACCAATTGTTTCTTTTTCTAGAGTATAAGCACGTTTACTCAAGCATAATGCCCAAGTTAACTGGAATCTGTCTCCCCTAAATCATCTCACCTGGTCCAAGAAGTCTCTTCTTTCTAGAAGAAAACTCACTGGTGGGGAGATCTAAGACTTCAGCAAAATGGGGTAACCTGACTCCCCAATGGGTGAAAGATGGTGATCCTCTTGGCATATCTGGTGCCCTCATGTTTGACACTCACCCACCAGCCCAAGTTCTCGGTAAGGACAGCCCAGAAGGTCCACTGTGTTTCCATCTCACTAACCCAACCCCAGTCCAGGGGGTTACCAGGATCACAACAAGGCAAGGCCAGTTGCAGAAGCAGCCGGTTTGGGAAACCAATCAGCACTGGCCAATGACTTTGTGTCAGTTGCCTCATGAGAATCCCATTCTTTGCTCCACACTTACTCAGTCTGTGAGGCTACTCTTCTGATACCCAAGTTACAGATGGGGGTGTGAGGTGAAGCAACATGTTCAGCACTAATGTAACACAGAAGCAGATCAGGAGCCCTGCTCTTGTCCCAAGCAGGCCAGCCTTCTCTGCACAGTCTCAACTCAGGGACGGTGGGGGAGTGGGCTCTGTCTTAACCGATAAGCCAACACAGACTCATAATTGATAAGGATGAAGCATTTCCATATGAATGGAAATGTTCTGCGAAAACATTTCTATCCAACAAAAGTCATTTCCCCTCTGAACAAGAATTCTCAAGTTCAGCACTACTGGCACTTTGGACAGGGCCACTGTCTGGAATGGAAACACTGCCCTGGCCACTGTCTGGTGTTAGTGGCATCCCTGGTCTCTACCCAGGAGGTGCCAACAGCGTCCCTCTCTCCTCCCAGTTAAGAAAATTTTAAATGTCTCCAGACATTGCCAAATGCCCCTTGTGACCATTGATGTTAGTGCCACCAAGTCAGTTCTGACTCATAGCAACCCTGTGTGGGGTTTCCAAGGAGCAGCTGGTGAGTTTGAACCACTGACTTTGTAGTTCAAACCAACCTTGCTGTCGAGTGCTTATCCTACAGCACCACATCTTGGGAGCCAAAATTGCCCAGTTGAGAGCCACTGGTCTAAATAATACTCCCATTTAGTTGAGTTGTTGTATCATTTTTGACTCAAGTCTGAGTGAGTGACATCAGCGAGGTCACAGTTAGTGAAAAGGGTACATATTCCTCACAGTGAAGTCACAAAGCACAAGGATCATTATCCAGTACCTGGGTTGAGACGGCTTTGCTCTCTTGGTTATACATGATCAGTGTCTGGACACCGGTGTCATCGCTCCGAATCCAGTGGCTGGACTTCTTGGCTTCAAACGCAAAATAACATCGCAGCAGAGAAAGCAGAGCTACTGTGGTGGAGAAAAGGGGGCGGCTCACCAACAACATCTCTTCCTCAATACAGTGAACCATGTGTTCCTGAAGATGACCGGAGCTCACCCCCACCAGGGAGGTTCAAGTGCTCAGAAGCAAAGATGTCACTTTCAGGACTGAGGTGTCCCTGATCCAAGTCAGGATGCAATCATCTCATATGAAAGCTGGACAGTGAACAATGAAGGGCAAAGAATGGAAGTGTTGACTATGCCATGGCCTACCAGAAGAAGGCACAAATCTCCCTTGTAAGAAGTACAGCCAGAATGCTCTCAGGACATGATATCAAGAGGGACCAGGGCCTAGAGAAGAACAGCATGCTTGGTAAAGTGGAGGGTCAGCGAATAAGAGGAAGAATCACAATGGCACAGAGGCTGCAGCAACGGACTCAAGCAGCCATGACGGTGAGGGTGGTGCTGAACTGGGTAGTGTTTTGGTCTGTAGGGTGTGGGGCCACTATGGATGGAGACAGATTCTATGGTGCCTCACAATCATAGAGGAGGCTCACGTTTTGTTTGCCTATAACTCAGCAGTAAATTGGTGTGGTCAAACTGGGTCTGATCATCTCTGTAGCTCGTTCAGCACCATTCCAGCCACAAATAGGTGTTCAATAACTGTTGGTTAAATATAGCCAGTAATGTTGCAGTTTCCGGGGAAAACTAGCTCCCTTGTTAGCCTTCTCCCAGCCCAGGAGCTGGAACAGCTGTACATTCACAGTTATCACAAACCTTAGGGGCCTGCTGGTTAGCTCTGCTGCTAACTATAAGAATGGAGGCCCAAGTTCACTCAGAGGCACCTTGGAAGAAAGACCTGGTGATCTACTTTGGAAAACTCAACCATTGTGAACTCCACAGAACACAGTTCTACTCTTACATACAAGGGGTCAAATCAACTCAACAACTGGTATTGGTTGTTGTTGTTGTTGTTGTTAAGTGCCATCGAGTCGGGTCCGACCCATAGCGACCCTGTACAGGGTTTCCGAGAGTGTAAATCTTTACGGGAGTAGAAAGCCTCATCTTTCTCCCGCGGAGCGGCTGGTAGTTTCGAACCGCTGACCTTAAGGTTCGCAGCCCGATTCGTAACCACTACGCTACCAGAGCTCCTTAGGGCCGCCCTTTAATGGTTCCATGATTGTAAATTTCTGCTTATTGACTAAACTATACCAAGTAACCCAGTGCTGTTGAACTGGTTCCAAGTCATGGTGACCCCAAGTGAAGAAGCAGTTCTGGCCACGTGGCAACCTCTGATCTAGGTCTGAGACCCTCAGAGCCATCCCACCGGGCTTCCTGTCATAACCTGTCCCCACCCCTCAGAAGACCCACTCCCCTGAATGAAGGTCTCCTGTTCCTCAGGTAGAGGTGTCCACCCAGGACATCCCCTCCCAACTACTGACCTGCCAGCACCAGGAAGGCAACACAGACAGGGATCAGCATCCCCATGGGGAGCCCAACTCCCGCTGTGTTAGCTGCTAGCTGGGCACAGGTGACTCCGCCAGGGCAGGAACACACCCTCACATACACAGTCTGCTTCTGGGAAAGGCCCTGCTGGTCTCCAATGCGAAGCGGCACAGAGTAATTCCCACTTGGGAGACTTCTCACCATCAACAGCTCCACAGAGCGACCTGCAAGGAGAAAGGAGCCTGTTAACCAGCCACTCCCTCCTGAGTTCATTTACCAACATCCAGGCACTGGTCTGGAGCCACCCACAGTGATGAAGAAGCAGAAGACCTATCCCAGGCAGCAATTTAAACCTGGTACTTTCTCTGCAAGGACACTTCTCACCAGGCAAGTGCCCGGGACCCGCAGAAGTCACCTGGCCATGTACAAGAAGTGCCTGAGACTATGGCAGCCAGAAACAGCACTCAGGTGTGGAGAGGTCACTTCCAGGTACCTAGACCCAGCTCTGTCTGACCACAGCTCACCTGGGTTTCCAATGACTTTAGATGTGGGGTCAACACTGGACCACAAGGTCAATTTGAATCCCAGGGTTGGCAAACTCACCAGCCACTCCTTGGAAACCCTATACTGGGTCACTATGAATTGGAAGCACTTAACAACAAGTCAGTACTGGAGTCCTGGTGTGGCACTGTAGGATAAGCACTGAATTGCTAACAACACAAATCAGCAGTTCAAACCCACCAGTCATTCCCTGGAAGTCCTATAGAGTCTATGTGAGTCGGAACCAACTCAATGGCACTTAACAACTACAGAAGCCAATATTACGGGTCCCTGGTGGCACAGCTTCTGACCAGGTCAGCAGTCCGGACCCACCAGGTGCCCCTGGGAGTGTGGGAAAGCACACAGCAGTTCTACTCTGTCCCATGGTGAATCCACTTGATGGCATTGAGTTTGGCTTTTAACATTAAACAGAGAAGGAAACAAGTGACCCCGCCTACCAAGCGAAGGAGCCCTGGTGGCACAGTGGTTAAGCACTTGGCTGCTAGCTGGTTGAGAGTTGGAACCCACCAGCTATTCCCTGGGGGGAAAGATGTGGCCTTAGCGCACCCTATAGGTCAGTTCCACCCCGTATTGCAGGGTCCCTGTAAGTCACAATCAACCAGACAGCAATGGGCAAGCCAGTATTTGTTGGTTTGTCGTGTTTGTGGTTGCAGTTGTGAAGTGCCGTGGAGTCCGTTCCTGCCCATAGTGACCCTGTACAGGATTTCCGAGGAGCGGCTGCTGAGCTAGAACCTCCTGTCCATTATCAACACAAGTACTCACCCCAGTTTTTCCCTAGTTCCCAAGTGCCGTCTGCATCATCCAGCTCAAAGGTAAACGGATCCGCATTGGGCTCCAAGTCCGGGTCTACTGCATCAATGCGAAGGGACGTCCTGCCTGCAGATGCACACACCTGCAGCAAAGGCTGGCGGAGCGAGGGGGCGTGGTCATTGACATCTGACAGGTGGAGCATCAGGGTCCCCGTACCAGTCTGCGGTGGAAGACCTTGTAAGAGAGGGCGCAGACTCAGCACTCAGGGGTGGGGGGTAAGGCCACTGCAGGTGTGCTCTTCATGCATGCACCCCACTGGGAATCGAATTCACTCCTCAGGGAAGGAATCGTGCAACTGAAACACAGGGGCGGCAGCCATATCACAGGGACTCTGGTGGCACAGTGGTTAAAGCATGTGGCTGCTAACTGAAAGGTCATCGGTTCAAACCCACTAGCTGCTCTGGGGGATAAAGAAGAGACCGTCTGCTTCCATCAACATTTATAGCCTTGAAAACCCTATGGAACAGTTGAGGTGTCCTATATAGAGGGTGTAGTGGTTACGAATCGGGTTTAGTGGTTACGAATCGGGCTGCAAACCACAAGGTCAGCAGTTCGAAACTACCAGCTGTTCCATGGGAAAAAGATGAGGCTTTCTGCTCCCGTAAAGATTTACAGCCTCGGAAACCCTGTACAGGGACACTATGAGTCGGAACTGACTCCACGGAACATAACAACAACAACAAACCCCATCTGGCAGCTCTGCGGGAGAAAGATCTGGTGATCTGCCCCACGAAAACCCTACGGGCAGTTGTAGCCTGTCACAGAACATATGTGTGTCTCAAGTTGACTCTGAGGCCCCAACACCACACCCTGCTCTAAGTCAGACATTGTACTCACCTGAGCTTGAACCTGTTTTCCTACTGTTTGGGGAATTCAGTGTCTGAGTAAGATACACGGACCCTTGCCACTTGCCCTCGCTTAAAGAAGCAGCAGAATGTGGAATCATCAGATAAATGAAAAGGTCCATGGTGACAGGGTTGAGGAAGGGACAGGGCAGGTGGGCAGTGGATGTGGCCATTCAAAGGCAGATGCAGGGGTTGCTTGGTGATGGAAGCGTTCAATGTACAATGTCAAGGTCTTGTCTGATACTATAAGCTAGTTTTGCAAGATTTTACATTGGGGGGAGCTAACCAGTTGTCCCAAGTCAACCCCAACTCATGGTGAGCCATGTGTGTCAGAGTGAAACCATGCCCCATAGGGTGTTCAGAAATGCCAAATCTTTCTTCCACGGCACCACTGCATGGACTCAAACTTCTAACCTTTTGGCTAGCAGCCAAGCAAGGGGACCATTAAAGCACTGAAGGCCTCCTTACTTCTTACAACTATACAGCTACATGCAAACCTACCATTATCTCAAGACAAAAAGCAAATAGCAGTCATACACACACACACACAAATAGCAGTCATGAGACCATCTAGAGTAGAACCGTGGAACCCTAGAACATTGACACCCCCACTTTCTTTCCCCTCAGTTAAGAGGAGGTATCTACCTTGAACAGCCTCAGAGCCAACATCCTACTATATCCAAGTGGTACAGACAGCTACAGATCACTGGGCCCCTAGGGTTTGGTTCACACGTTTTCTTAAACAAATTATTCAAGTTATTTGAAGATCTTTACTCAACTTTACGTTCTGGCAGGCTTCATCATTCAGCCTTGGGGGCCCTTAAGAACGTGTTGAAATGTACTCATAAAACTACTCATCCTGGTTTATGGCAAATTTGTCTTATAGTCACATTTGCCTGAGCTTATCTGCTCTTCCACGTTCAGGAAAACTGTGCTACGCATTTATTCCACATCATTGACTTTGACAAAATTCTAGGAACAGATAAAAAAAAAAACAGACATTGAGTTTAAATGCATCTTTCTCATGAGATTAATCATCTCTTCTCAATGATAATGCCTCTCTCCCAATGGTGTTTGTCTCTAGTTTGTCATTTCAAGAATCATCGTCTAAAACATCAGTGATGTGGGTGGAAAGTGATCAATGGTGTGATTGATACTCTCCCCAGTAGTGTCCAGAAACTTTCATCTGTGTTGTTTTCCCTCTGGAAACCAGAATGCCCATCTTCCCCAGTTTGGGGAAAACACTCACCATCATCAATGGCATGGACTACAATGGTGTAAAAGCTGTCCTTTACGTGAGGGGATTCTCGGTCGGTTTGCTTCCTGGTGGTCACTGCTCCTGAGTTTTCATCAACGGTGACCCAATTTTCTGGATCATGAACCAGTTTATAGCTTGTGTAAGGAAACACATACCGTGTTTAAAAATTTTTTAAAAAGTAACATCAAAGACCAATTACAATTTATCACAGCAAACACAATTTCTATCACAAGTAATTTGGGAGACTCTAAGAACAATTAAGCTCTGGGAGTATTTGTGAATTTAATGAAAGGCACAGATAACCAGAATAGAAACAGAATACCCTATGAGTTGACAAATCAACATTCCACAGTGTAACTGACTCCTCTTTTCCTCGGTGGGCCAAACATAACTATGCATATCTACCATGAACCACATGCCACCCTGGAAAAGAACCCATCTTCAGTTGTGTCTCGGTGCTGGTGGTGGTGGTTGCTGGTCATCTGGTCACCCCTGACTTGTGGTGATTTCATGCAAATTGGTCTAGGGCCATTTTGTCCCAGAGTTTACAATGGCTCATTTTTGGATCTACCACCAGACCTTTCTTCTTACTCAATCAGACATGTCTGGAGGATCCATGGAAACCTGTTCATCAGCACAGCAACATGCAAGCCTCTGCTGACAGACAGGTGGAGAATGCACGACAGGTGGAGGATGCACAACAGGGGCACATGCCAGGAACAGAGCCAGATCTCACACATGGAAGGTGAGCTTTCTCCCACTGACTCATCACTTAATGATCTGTCCAACCTGCCCTGGAGCATTGAGTTACCCCTGCTATGGGCAAAGGAGTCACACCTGGGTAATCAAGTCCATCAGAAAGGTCTTTGCAGCCCCTTTCACCTATGCCCAACTGGCTCCATTTTAACAGGTGAGCCTGCCACACCCTCCAGATTCTCTGAGAACAGGTGCTCAGCAGATGGTACCCGTGGAACCATGCCAGGCTGCCAACCACAGCATCTGCTTCAGGACCCACTGTAGGGCCTAATAGCTGGAGGTAAACAGTAGATAATAATTCAGCTCCCAGAAAGGAGTGGAGAAGGAAAGTTCCTTTGTATGCTTTCTCATCTGCAGCTGGACAGAGGCCTTTGAATTGGTCAGCACTGTCCCTACCTGGTAAGCAGGGTTTCAAACCCATTCTTCTTTGTTCAATCATGCCTGACAAAGTGAAACTTGAATGGACCCAAATTTTTAACACGGAGAATTCAGAAAGGCCCTCTCCTAGAAACTTAATCCCCCTCTTAGCAAATAAAGGCAGCATGGGCTTTGGATAGCAACCAACTCTCTTGACTGGCATCTGCTCAAAGATGGAGGCCAGCCACACTGCTTTGAATGTGTATCACTCTCCATGGTGCTGATAACAATCCAGTTTCTCCAGCAGAAAGGGCTCTCTCTCAGGTATCCCATTCCAGGGCTCTGGCCCATCATTTTTCAACTAGAATGGTTACACAACACGGAGGAAATAACCACTGTCTATGAACAGGACAAAGAAAACTGTTGATAGGGTGTATGTTTCTTTGTGTATATTTTCACCCCAAATAGAAATAACAAAAGGAAGTATTCAGAAATCTGTGTAGACACTGACATTCCCGTAACCTTCAGGTACATGATCATTTTTTTCTGGCCATTTTATTACATTTTGCAAAATGATCACTTCAACGAGAATTGGATATTAGACAAATAAAATTTGAGTCTTCCCGACAGACTCATCAGGAAGCAATGCTCCAAGCAGGGGTCTTTAGAAATGAACACAGTGATTCTAAAACACAGCCAGGTACTCAAGGGATAGACGGTCTGTGTTAAGTGTGGTGAAAACAACAGAGGCATACAGACACAACATGAAGTGCGTAACCACTGTCCATGTGGAGGACGTCAAAAAATGTTGCTCAGACGTATGTTTTGTTATGTCTCAAACTTCAGGGTGGAGCAGATGGGGATGGATGGCCACACAGGTAGGTGTGGAGGATCTCCACGGGTCACACATGAAAGCTGCCCCCAGAACATAAGTCCAGGAAACCAGTTCTGGCAGAGTTTCAAGAACATCCGGAAGATTCAGGGGGCTAGCTCTTCATTTTTAAATGCTGGCAGCTTTATAAACAAACAGACCATAAAAACTGTGGCAGGGGAAGAAGGAGACAGAAACTCAGAATGAAGATGAAGACCTTCTAAGAGAGATGCACCCTGACGTGCAAAGGGAAGTGAACTAGTGAGAGATGGATGCCTGGTGGGGTCAGAGCAAGCTAGGACTTCCCATGTTCAATCTGGGCCCCGGCAAGTTGGCTCAGCAACTTCTCATGTTTTCAGAACCAGGGAAGAGTCATCCTCACCAACACTTGTGCACTTTGAGCTTTTCTTTCAGAGGAGTGAGTTTTCCCACAGAAGTTCTGTTGGACATGTGACTGATTCCACTCACCACCTCCCCTCCTACGTTTCCTCTCACCTTTTGCTGAGTTGGTGAGCAGACTCCACGTGTTACAGGGGAGAACTTCTCCTTTTTACTCTTTACGGCAAATTGGGTGAAGGTTTACAGAGCAGATCAGTTTTCCATGCAATGATTTATACATGTTTTGTTTCATCATGTTGATTGTAATCCACACAAGGTGACATCACTCATCCCACTTCCGCCCAGTGTTTTTCTGCTTCCATTCCTCCTTCTTTCCTAACACTTCTAAACTTTGTCCTCAGGGAAATGCTGCCTTTTGATTGCATGAGGTTGACGGTTTTAAGGTGTGGTACATACCTCACTAATGTGAAGGTACCCTGCCCCCCAGGCCTGTGTATGGTTTGGCTGAAATTGAGCCAGAAGAGTAAGTTCTCTTCCAGACCTGAAGAACTTCTAAGGACCAGAGTCTTGGGTACCGCACCACTTCTATTTGACTAGTCGGGTCTTTTTTTATTGCGTTTTGTTTCACAGTTTTCTCCCTCTACCCAGGACCTTTGGATGTGACCCCTATCAGAGTAGTTGGCAGAGGTGGTCAGGCATCTTGGCTGTAATCGCAAAGGAAGCAGGCCACCAGAACTTTCCTCCTCAGCACCTGCTGGGCAGATTTCAAGCACTCACCTTTAGGTTAGCACACTCTCAGGACCTTACCAGGAGGGACCAGTCCCTGAAGGGTCAGGGAGAAACAGGGAGACCCCATGAGATTGGCATGGTGACAGCAGCAATGGGCTCAAGTGTAGTAATTGTGAGGTTGGCCCAGGACCAGGCAATGTTTCATTCTGTTGTGCATGAGGTCACTATGAGTTAGAACCGAATTAATGACACCTAATAGCAGCTGCCAAATACCTGATGTTCCTCATCTCACCACACCCAACTAAACCCAGTGCTTTCAGCTCAATTCAGACTCATGGCAACCCTACAGAACAGAGCAGACTGAACCAGAGGGCTCCTGAGGCCATAAATCTTTATGGGAGCAGACTGCTTCATTTTTCTCTCACAGAACAACCAGTGGGCTCAGCCTCTAACATTTCGGTTAGTAGTCAACCCACTGTGCTGCCAGGACTCCTTTTCCTCACCTTATATGGCTTGAAATTCTATCGGGATCCGTAGCGTTAAACATTCCCAGCAGAAGGCCTGGGCTGCCACCTTCCTGTCCACTCACGACCAAGGTCCCCGGATGAAAGGCAGGTGGGTCGTTGATGTCCATCACCTCCACATTCACAGTGACACTCACCCTAGTCTCCACTGCCTTCCGAAGTTTGCCCCCCTCACAGGAGAAGAGCTGCGCCTCATTTTCCACAGAAATGACAAGCTTTCTCGCTGGGAGACTTTCATAATCCAAAGGCTGCAAACCCCAGAGAGAAGTCATTAGCACGTGAGGCCAGGCGGTTCTTTGGGCCAGAGTCAGCTGGAGAAGTGGAGCCCAGTGGCTTTTGTACTTCGTTCATTATTTACAGTGCCTTTGATAATGATCAAAAGACAGTCTTCAGCTCGTTTTCAAATCATTTATGGAGTTCTTTCTTTTTCCCCCTCCTCTTTTCCTGATGAAAAAGAGTCACCATCCATCTGATAGTAATAAAAAATGCAACAAAACCCTATAACCTAATGAAACATTAATGTAGAAGCCGGCTGCAGAGGATCAGGGAACTTAGGGAAATATAGACATTGATGATGGTAATTATTCAGGGTACAAAGTGGTTGGTAACTTAAAAAGAAGAAAAGTTGGAAAGACTTGAGAAATTCAACCTCGGGCATCTGTGTAATGTCCAGGGAGCCTGGCTATACACAGTGGGGTCCTTGGACCATCTGTCTCACTTGCGAGCTTGTTACACTGAAAGGTAGGCTCTCGGCCCTACCTCAGACCCACTGACTCAGGACATCTTTTAAGCTGACCCCAGGTGAGTTTCCTGCATAAAGGGCTTCCAACTGGCCCATTCTAGTTTGAACTCTTGCTGGGAATTTGCATTTCCACTCCAGATAGCCTGAATCCAAATCTACATATTAATAAGGTCTCCACTTTTTAACAAGATCCCCAGGTGATTCTTAGGGGGATCTTGATAAAATGTAGATTCAGATTCAGTCTATCCTCAGGTGAAAATGCAACTTCTCAGCAGGGGGTTGAACCAGAATAAGCTGGTTCAAGCCATTCCTGAACTACATGGGTGCCCTGATCATCCTAGGGTCCAGATGACAGTGATTAAGAATGCCCCAGTGCAGTTTCATGAAAATGAACTAACCTCTCTGGGCCTTGACTTCCTCATCAATAAAATGAGATCATACCTTGATGGAGAGCCAACTGCTCCAGGAGGCTGAGTGAGGAGGGCCTGGGATGTGGATAGGGCCCCCACAAATATTTTCATTTCTTTTAAAATCAGAAGAAAATAAGAATAACTTAGGGTTGAATAGTTGTTGTTGTTGTTAAGTGCCGTCGAGTCGGTTCCGACCCATAGCGACCCTGTACAGGGTTTCCGAGGGTGTAAATCCTTACGGGAGTAGAAAGCCTCATCTTTCTCCCGCGGAGCGGCTGGTAGTTTCGAACCGCTGACCTTAAGGTTCACAGCCCGATTCGTAACCACTATGCTTCCAGAGCTCCTTTTTAATCGGTGTTGTTGTTGTTGTTAAGTGCCATCAAGTCGGGTCCGACCCATAGCGACCCTGTACAGGGTTTCCGAGGGTGTAAATCCTTACGGGAGTAGAAAGCCTCATCTTTCTCCCGCGGAGCGGCTGGTAGTTTCGAACCGCTGACCTTAAGGTTCACAGCCCGATTCGTAACCACTACGCTACCAGAGCTCCTTGAGGTTTTCATATTTTATCACACCAGAAGAAGAAGTGAAAGAAACCTTTCCGAGCCTTTAAATCTACTAAAATCTGCCTTTGATGTTGCTGAAGAATCACATCAGAAATGACTAGATTATGGTGGAAGGTACCCAGGAAGGCAGGGATCTAAGAGTTGGTGCTCAGAAATCACGACACGGCCCTACCTTCCCCACCAACTTGTCGTGAGGCTTCAAGGAAGCGGGACACATTAAAACTGAGCACAGTGTACACACAGACCAGATTTCAGCTGGTTGCGAGCTGCTGCCAAGTCATCTCCAACTCATGGTAACTGTGCAAAACCAGCTAGGGCTGTTGTGATACTTGGTGTTTTCATTGGCTGATTTTAGAAGCAGATCACCAGGCATCTTGTCCTAGTCTGTCTGAGTCTGGAGGCTCCATTGAGCCCGGTTTGACATCCTAGCAACTGGCAAGCTACCCTGAGAGATGGGGGAATGGCTGGATTGAGGTGTGTGTGCTGGGAATGAGGTGCCGTCTCCCCACTGACACTAGCTGTCGTACAGAAAGAGAGCTCCGAATCTACAACCACTGGGTTACCAGTCTTCCCTGATATGTTACCTTGACGACACTTAGAATCCCTTCATTGGTTTCGGGGTCAGTTGAGATGTCAAAATGCCTGTCTTCATCACCCTTGGATATGTTGAACTTTGCTCTCCAAGCTGAGGTAAATGGTGAGTCTTGGTCTCGGACTGGGAGGCGTAGCACACCAGGGCTGACTTGCCCCTCAGGTATCTGTAATTTATACTGAAGAAAGCAATCAGTATTTCAGGTCCCTGAGACAAAGAAACACCAGCCAAAAGTCCGTAAGACCACGATAACCTGGAAAGTTCTCTTGCTGTTGAACATGGTCTTAAGGGATTTGAAACCCCATCTCTTACAGCAGAATAAATACCAAAAATAAACATCCCTTCTAGCTGAGATTCGGTGTCTCTGGCTGAACAATTTAAAAGGAACTCTTGAATCCAACTTGTCCTATTTTTCTTAGAATTTTAAGAGCAGTAATATGCATTCTAGTTCTTGCTGTCTAAAATATCTTGCTCTGCTCCTAGAATTAGACGGTTGCAATTATTTAGATCAAGGTAATCATTTTTCTAGCACATATAGATCTTGAAAATAGCTTGTTATTCAATATTTTTGGTGACAAGATAGTATCTCCAGATAAGTACATTATAGCAGCAACACAGATGAGTTTTTCCCTGGGCTAATTTTTCAAAGCATAGGTTTGCTTTTACCAAGCCAGGGAAGCATTTTGAAATAGGACTCAAGTATATCATGTCGCTGCTGTTTTTAGGGCCTGGCATGTTGTTCTCACACCAGTGGTCCTGTATGGGGTGTGGTGCTGCAGAAATAAGCACTGGACTGCTAACCTAAAGGTCGGCACTTCAAACCCACCAGCCACTCCTTGGAAATCCTATACAGGGTCACTATGAGTCGGAACCAACTCGACGGCACTTAGCATCAGCAACATATCTTTACAGGAGCACAAAGTCTCATCTTTCTCCTGTGGAGTGGCTGGTGGGTTTGAGCCCCGACCTAGTGGTTAGCAGTCCAGTGCTTATCTTACAGCACTACCAGGGCTCCAGGATTATGTCACAGACACTGTGTAATTTCTGATGGCATGCTTTCATTTAAAAAACACTTGATTTTGATGTATAAATCTGTGATTTAAATGACACCCTTTGAGGATACTGATTTCCATCATTGATTCAAAATGGGTACCCTGGGCCAGGTTCTGTTAGGTGCTGTGAACAAAATAGGTAATTGGGCATGGGGAGTAAGGTACCTAGAAAATAAATAATAAGTTAAATACACTTTAAAAGTTCATGAAAAAAAAAATGGAATTAAAGACAATGGACTACTTCCATGCACTTTTAGAATCCCCCGTTGGAGAGGCTGTGAAGAACAAAGGACCAAGGGAAGAAGGTATCAGGAAGAGGTGAGAGGATTTTTATCTATGTAGTCAGAAAAAGGAGCTCTCGTAGCATAGTGGTTATGAATCAGGCTGTGAACCATGCAAGGTCAGCAATTCGAAACTACCAGCTGTTCCACAGGAGAAAGATGAGGTGTTCTGCTCCCGTAAAGATTTACAGCCTCAGAAACCCTGTGCAGGGTCACTATGAGTCGGAACCGACTCCACGGCACACAGCCACCACCACCACCAGTTAGAAAAAGACAAATAAAGAAAAGACAATCCCCCTTGAGAGAGGCCAGGTGAAAAAGGAAAAGAAATGGAAACCTGCTTTTTTTCTATGCAAAACCTCTTTATTAGACATCTAAAACAAGCTAAGTCACACAGTTTTTAGACATCTAAAATGAGCTTAAGTCATGCAATTTTTGGGACACGTGCAGCTTGAGAAATCCAAGAATGCCACACATTCTATTTGCAAGCTGAGACGGTCCTGGTTGTTGTTGTAGACTACTGCATGATGCAGTAATTTCAGCTGAGTGACTTAACCGTACGTGGTGGTGGTGGCGCTGTGCCGTGGAGTCAGTTCCAACTCCTAGTGACCCTGCACAGGGTTCCCAAGGCTGTAACTCTTTACGGGAGCAGAAAGCCTCATCTTTCTTCTGTGGAACAGCTGGTCGAATGCCATATTTTCTTTTTTGTCCTCAGAAATATAGTTTACTCATCAATTTGACACATATACCATATTCATTTAGGGCATTAACATCCTAAAACTAGTATTCTGAAATTTCATTGATATGATCAATTTTTACCAACAATCTCAGTCTAGTATGCTTTTGTTGTTGTCAGGTGCCATCGAGTCGGAACCGACTCATAGCGACCCCATGCACAGCAGAACGAAACAATGTCTGATCCTGGGCCAACCTTACTACTGCCGCCACACTTGATGCCATCAATGATGTCACCTGGCTGATCCATCTTGTTGGGGGTCTTCCTCTTTTTCTCTGACCCTCCACCTTACCCAGCATGACATCCTTCTCCAGCGACTGTTCTCTCCGGACAATGTGTCCAAAGTAGGAGAGATGAAGCCTAGCCATCCTGGCCTCCAAGGAGCACTCTGGTTGCACTTCTTCCAAAACAGATCTATTGGTTCTTTTGGCAGTCCATGGCACTTTCAGTATTCTCCTCCAACACCACAACTCAAAGGCATCAATTCTTCTGTGATTTTCCTTATTCACTGTCCAGCTTTCATATCCATATGAGGTTATTGAAAATACCATGGCTTGGGTCAGGCGCACCTTAATCCTCAAGCTGACATCTCTGCTCTAGTATACTGGCTGTCTATTTGAATTCACTCTTTGATGTGTCCAAGTTTATAAAATGTCTTTCTTTCTCAATTCTATTACCTTTTCTATTCTGGGTAGAAAATGAAAACTATTGTATTTGAATATGTATTCTTAAAAACCAGATGGATTAGTAAAAACTGAACACAGATCCTGAGTGTATTTTTCTCTCTTAGCAATCTTGTATACTTTAAGGGGTATTTCCAGAATTGCAGGGTGGTTTCTTACTGCATATGGCAGCATGCCTGGATCCCTGATACATGAAGCAGCTGAGTGGAAAGAAGCCAGTTCTGAGCCCATCTCTTCATCTTCCTTTCTAGGACCCTGAACACAATGTGAGACCGGGGTTCCCAGCCAGGGGGGAGCCTGCCCTACTGAAGACAGCTGACAATGTCTGCAGACATCTGTGGCTGGCTACTGGGATCTCATGAGTGGAGGCCAGGTACAATGCTAACGATGCTACAATGCACAGGACAGCCCCCACCACAAGGAACTGTCCACTCCCAAACATCAAGAGTACTGAGAACAGGAAACCAACCATAACTCAGAGTGGACAGGGGTTCTGTATTCCCAGGCCTCATCCGTAGAACAGAAACTTTGCCTGAGTTCCGAGAAGTAAAGGAAACAATGAGCACAAATGCTCTTTGCCCAAAGCAGTCAAAAGTGTAAGATCACATGACTCGGACTAGAGGATTCCAGATGAATATGGCTGACTGTTTGATTTTAGTTTAAGTTACATTTGAACATTATGTGTATCTTGGGTGATGGAGGATACCCCAGTATCAAAGATCCCAGAAGTCGGGGGCCATGCCTTTTTGAACTTAGGGGGACCAGGTGCCTTACACTGTCCTGGGTGAACACTGGCCTGTGGTTGTTATCATCTTGCACATGGACATGGACGGTGGCCGTAGATGACAATGGTGGTTTCCCCAAATCTCTCGCTCTGATCAGTAATGTAAACAAAGGAGCAGTCTACAGGAAGCAAAAAGGAAATCTCAGTCGTTTCATACATGCCAGGGAAATACTAGCAAAGAAGAACCCCATCACAGAAGGCTCCTCACAAAATACAGAGATGCCAAGTGTGTGACAGGGAACACACAGCATCTTTCAGAAAAGATCAAATCCACATCACCTCATAATCCAGGCATCCTGAGAGCTGTATTTTTCCACTCCTCTGATCAATCAGGAAGCTGCTCTCTTTCAGCAATGGCGTTTGAGATACCAGGGAATAAAGGACTTGAGAATTTGGAGTGTTTTTTTGGTCCAAATCAACTGTTAACATCTGAAAAATAGGTAGATCTGGAAAGAATTGTTTTAAAGCTGTTACTATTGGCTAACCCAGCAGGGCAACGGGCTCTTTGCTAAATGGCATGGGGCATTTAAATATTAACTGATTAAATATCTAAGCCTAAGACTACAGACAAGGAGCTCTGGTAGCATAGTGGTTACAAATCGGGCTGTGAACCTCAAGGTCAGCAGTTCGAAACTACCCGCTGTTCCAGGGGAGAAAGATGAGGCTTTCTGCTCCCGTAAAGATTTACAGCCTCGGAAACCCTGTGCAGGTTGCTATGAGTCGGAACCGACTCCACAGCACATAACCACCACCACCAAGACTATAGACATACAAGGAGTCCAGGGAGGCACAAACTGTGAACTTTGCAACTATGTGTCAAAAGTTTTTTAGTTTGACTCCACCCACAGGCACCCCGGAAGACAGGCCTGGTAATCTTCTTTGGAAAAGTTCTAACCTTGAATACCTTATGGAACAATTCTCCTCCGATACATGGGATCACCAAGACAACAGGAACTAACAACACAGACCTAGACGACGATGGACATTTAAATAACTGTGGAGTCAAGAAGAAATTTCTAACCATGACTGCAAAGAAGGAAACTTTAAAGAGCAAAACGGAATCATATCGTATAATGAATTAGATCTCAAAAATGTATGGAAACACACATCTATAGACGTATAGAAGGGGCGCTGGTGGTGCTGTACGGTAAGCACTGGACTACTAACTGGAAGTTCACACTCACCATCTTTTCTCCGTGGGAGAAAGATGAGGCTTTCTGTTCCCATAAAGATTTACAAGCTTGGAACCTCTTGATAGGATTGCCAACAGTCAGACTCAATGTCAGTAGGTAGGCACGTATATAAAGGTGCATACGTACGTACACACACGTATACATGTCATGGAGTCCTGACATGGTGCTGTGAGATGAACACTGGGCCGAAAGGTCCGTTTGAACCACCAGGTTAGTGGTTCAAATTCACCAGCTGCTGCTTGTGTTTCTCACCCAGCATTATACACTTGTTATTGTTAAGTGCCATCAAGTCGGTTCCGACCCATAGTGACCCTGAACAAGGTTTCCGAGGCTGTAAATCTTTACGGGAGTAGAAAGCCTCATCTTTCTCCTGCAGAGCAGCTGGTAGTTTTGAACTGCTGACCTTGCGGTTCACAGCGCGATTTGTAACCACTACGCTACCAAAGTTAGCTGGTGGGATACTCACAGTAAGATTGCTGTTGTTGTTGTTAAGCAACATGGGGTCAGTTCTGACTCATAGCGACCTTGTATAGAGTTTCCAAGGAGTGGCTGGTGGGTTTGAACAGTTAGCAATCCAGAGTTTTATCCAACAGCACCATATATATATATATATATATATATATATATATATATATATATATATATATATATATATAATTACATATAACAGTCTGTGAATACATACACATATACATGCATTAACTACAGTGTGTGTATAATCATACACAGATGTTAAGAATACTGATAGGTGATAAACCAAACCACACCTCAAATTCACTTGCCTTAGGGGTGGGGAAGCTTTCTTCTGCCAAAATTTATAAAATGATTTGCAGACCATACAAAATTATCAACTTAAACATTAATCTGCTGTACTTGGTCAAAGACAATGCACTGGTGTGCAAGGTTGGTTTGAACCACAAGATCAGCAGTTCACATTCTCCAGTCACTCCTCAGAAACCTTGTACAGGGTCACTATGAGTTGCTACTGACTTGACAGCACTTAACAACAACGCAATGGCTGGAACTGCAGTTGCCTTGGCAGGATCAGACCAAATGACTTCGTGGGCCTCAGACGGCCTTTGGAGTCCTGGCGTGGCGCTGTGGGTTAATGCACTAGACTGCAAAGTTGGTTTGAATCGCAAGGTTAGTAGTTCAAGGTTACCAGCTGCTTCTCAGAAACCCTGTACAAGGTCCCTATGGGTTGGAACGAGCTCGACAGCACTAAACAACCCCACCCCTCTTCTAGACAGTAGCATTAAGCATGCTTTCTGGATTTTTTTAGAAGTCTCCTAATTTCCTACCTTAAAGACAAATTGATTTTGTAAATAAAGGCTACTTCTTTGCTCAGCTTGGTGCGCCATTGTGTTGTCATGTTACAGATAAGAAATTTGCAGAACCCTTTAGAAACTTACCTCCCTGCACCCCACAAACACAACCTCAAATCACTTGCCATCAAGTTAGTTCTGACTCTTGATGCTCCCATATGTGCCGAGATGTTGAGTTCCATTGAGTCAGTTCCACCTCATAGTGACCCTGTGCATAGTTTCTGAGGAGCAGCTAGTGTGTTTGAACCACTGACCTCACGGTTAGCAGCCCTGTACTTATCCTCAGTGGCACACCAGGACCCCAGGATTTTCTTACCACCTTGCATTTGGCATCATTGTTACAGTGACATTTACACATCAGGAGTGAAAAGGGACACCATGGCATGCCATTTCACTGACTACAGGGTGTTTTCTTCTTATCCAGGACTGCAGCCTTTGAGAAATGAGCAATGAAATGTCCCCGGAGGTCAATGTGAACAACGGAGTTCCCCATCACTAGACACGCAGGACAACCTTCACAGAACAGGGTGGGAGGATCCTGCAGCCTCAGGCACTCACCTGCTTCTTGGCTCTCCTTCACTGTGATGCTTAACTTCTCCTCCAGAAACTGGGGGGCGTGGTCATTGACATCACTGACCCTGATACTGAAAAACAAGGATTTATCCACGACGTCCCCTGTTGAGCGATCCACAACATCAAAACGAACCTGAGATGCAGAGAAAGGCGCTAAAGCAGTGGAGTCACATACCCGCAAGTGTTGCTGTTGTTAAGTGTTGGCGAGGCCATACCAAAGAGCAGTTGGTGGGTTTGAACCATTGGCCTTGTGGTCACCAATCCAGGGCTAACCACACCAGGAGTCCACCCATGAGTATAGTTGTGAGTCTTGTGTCCATTTCCCCCTCTAGCTGGAAGATTCCATGAAGGCAGGGATCATGTACTTTCATTTACTGTTAATCCCAGGGACTAGTGTGCCTGGGTGTCATCAAGTTGATTCCGACTCACACAGGCCCCATGGGACAGAGTAGAACTGCCTTATGGGGTGTTTGCTGCAATCTGTATTGATCAACAGATCTTTCTCCCTAGGAACCAATGGGTGGGTTCAAACCACTAACTTGTTGGTTAGAAGCCAAGTGCTTAATCAGTGCACCACCAGAGCTCCTCTTGCACAGACTAAAGCCATTACCACTGAGCTGATTCAGACCGTCACAGTGACCCTGTAAGGGCAGAACCGCTCTATGGGATTTCCAAGGCTGTAATCTTTATGGGAGCTGTCACCACCAACATTTTAGTTATCAACTAAGTGCTTTAATCACTGTGCCACCAGGGCTCCTTGGCACAGATTCACCAAACCAAACCCCTGCCAACTAGTCGATTCTATAAGTGCTCAATAAACATTTAGAAGACAAAGCAATGTGCTGACTTAAAAATAATGAAACAAAAACCCAAACATGAATAGGAATGGACACTGAGTCTCAGTGAATCCTCCACACAGATGGACGCCTTTGATCCTTGAAGGAACCTTCTGGAGGTTACTGCACCTAACACTTACTAAGGCTAAGGGACCTTTCAACTCTAAGCATGGAGGCTGGGTTAGGGTCCTAGAGCTGCTGTAACAAAATCTCACAAAGTAAGTGTCTTTAAAAGATAGAGATGCATTTCCTCACACTTCTGGAGGCTGAACATCCAAACCAGGGTGTTGGCCATGTCCATTCTACTAAGAGTTCTGAGAGAGGATTCATTCCGGGTCTCTCTCCCAGCTTCTCAAGGGCAGCTAACAATCCTTGGTGTTCCTTTTCTGCTTACAGCTATGTCTTCATCACCTCCATTCCCATGACTGTCTTTCTCTAAGACACCAGCCATATGAGTCTGACGTAATCTCGTTAAACCCCATGGATGTTGATTCTGACCCCTCTAGATTCTCTAGCACTTAGGACTTCCAGTGTTGTGAGTCGTTATAGATGCATACTGCCTTATCTTCCTCCCTCAGAGGGATGGGTGCATTTGTAGTGACAGGTAGATTCGAACTGCCACCTTTTGGATGGCAGCTGAGGGTTCCTTTTATGGCCTTATTAACTAACAGATAATATCTTCAAAGAAAGATTCTATTTCCCCAAAGCAAGGTCTCACACACAGCCACAGGAATTCAGACTTTCTGGGAGTCCATGACAGAAGTTCAAGTCCAGAAAGATGTGGAGACAGTTCTTCAGAATCCATAGCAGGATGTTCCCTTACAAATCTCAGGCGGTGGTCTCTCTTCCCAAGTGGACTTCTCTGTTTAGCTGTGCATGTTCTCTCTGCAGACACATTGCTGGCTCAGTGGAGTCCGCCATGATGGTCCCAGCAGGTACATTAGAATGGCGGCCGGGCCAGAAGTCCACTGGGGTTCAGCGGCCTCCCCTTCCACATATTCCAGAGGACACTGCCATGCTCCCACGAGTGAGCTATTCAGCTTCAGGGACACGAGCATACATTTTCAAATTTCTGTGCCAGAAAATTGGCTTGTGTATCCAATGTTCCTCATCCCCTCCATAATTATCATGGTACTGCTTCTCATTCACCCTGACTTCTGGTTATAAAACTGTAATTCTTCCATTTACAACCACACATTTATGTTTGTTATTATTTCCTATCCCACTTAGTACCCTAAAAGCTACATCAGAGACCGTTAGTTCCATGAGCTGCTTGAGAGACATGAGTGCTGTTTATTCCTTGGCAAGACGCTTAGAATTTCCAGGGGATGCAGGGTCCCAGTGGAGAAGGGAAGTGGCATGGCACACTTATGACCTTAGAGAGGCTTTTCAGCTGTTTGTTCTAGCCCAGAGACTTACACCCTTAGATAAACAAACCAGGGTGCATCTGCATGATAGATCAGCCTATAGCTATCTGAAATTACATGCACAGGATCGATATTCTTACCCACAAGTGAATATATGGAACCCCCCCCCCAAAGGCCAAATTGTTATGTGCTGTGGAGTTGGTTCCGACTCATAGCGACCCTGCACAGAATTTCCGAGGCTGTGAATCTTTACGGGAGCAGAAAGCCTCATCTTCCATGGAACAGCTGGTAGTTTCAAACTGCTGACTGTGAGATTAGCAACCCGATTTGTAACCACTGCGCTACCAGAGGTCCTTAAATGCCAAGTACACAATATGAAATTGTTTACACACATAGGTTATAACTAAGCAAAGCTGACCCTGTGATGATAAAGGTGAACAATTGCTATTTTTGAGGACTGTAAATGGATGGATTTTCTTGGTTGTATTTGTCTCCTATGAAACCAGCCCTGTTTTGATATAAATTGATAGGATTCCTACAGAGAAAAATGTCAGCCTTTTCCCCTTTTTGACAGTCTTAAATTTGACATCAGTTGTCCCCATCAGCTTTCCTGCAGGTGCATAGGACCCAATAAGCAAGGTAAGCCCAGGCTTCCTTGTGCTTCCTTACAGAGCCGTAGTGATCAGTTTTAGCAACTATTACTACAAATTAGTAAGGAAGCATAAGCAAGCTCATGCTTAAATCGCTGACTGGATACATTGTCCCTATCAGGGATGGTCAATGTGAAAATAGGCTTTGAATCTGTAGAGGGCGCTGTGGTGTTTGGAGAGAGATGTAGAAGCCAGTCTTGGAAGTAGAATCTTTGCTATGGTGAAAAAATATGAAATTGTTCACTACAGATGAGTAAGTCAGCACAAAGAAGCCTACACTTAGCTTTCCTGTTAGGTAACCCAACACTGCATAAGACTAACAAGAAGTCAGCCTCTCCTATCACCCCCAAGCATGTTTGTAATGCTTGGGCTAGTTTGCATCACTCCTTTGGGATCTCATGGGTGTCATCTTGTCTTATGGATGGTCCAAACCAATGTTAAACTTTCATCTAGAGAAACAGAGGTTTCGGCTAGAACGTTCAAATTGTGTAGTGCTCACATGGCCCTACAAATCCTGATACAGCTCTGTAGAATGAGCACTGGACTGCTAACTACAGGTCAGCAGTTCAAACCCACCAGCCACTCCTTAGAAACCCTTCACGGGCTCACTATGAGTCAGAACCAGCTCAGCAGCACTGAATAATAACAGTATATGACACCTTGCTGATGTCACTTTCCATGGTTGGTAATCTTTTATCAAAAAGCTCTGGTGTTGCAGTCGTTAAGCCCAGAGCTGCCAACGTAAAGTTCAGTGGTTTGAGGGACCCCCACCCCCACCCCACCCCTGCCAGTCACTCCACAGAAGAAAGATGTGGCAGTCTGCTTCTGTAAAATTGACAGTCTGGGAGAGTCCGTGATGCACCCCCACTCTGGTTTATAGGATTGCTCTGAGTCGAAATCAACTCAACAACAATGGATTAATCGTTCATCAAGTCTGGGTGATATGGAGGCTTAACATACCAGTTAACTTAACTGAGAGCTTGGAGGGTCCACTCCATCTAGAAGCATCTTGGGGGGGGGGGGGGAGGCCTGACAGTCTAGTTCTGAGAGATCCACTATTGAAAACTCCACGGAGCTCAGTTCTACTCTAACATAAATGGAGCTGCTATGAATTGGAATCAACTCATTGGCAATTAGTGACCTTTCATCGATCTGTCTCCTGTCTTCCTAAGTAAAGTGTAAACCTCTGGAAGGCACACACTATATTTGACTGTGCCCCTCCACTCATCCAACATCTTTAATTAAGAACCTCCTCTGTATTAAACTCCATTCTCAGCTGGAGAAATGCCAACTCTCCCCATTTGGAATTTACAAGTATATTTATCAACAGAGATTCAGACACTTATGTGTAAGTTTCAGGTAGTCCAAAGTGTTGAAGAGAAGGTAAAACAAAACATGGGTCCAAGAGCTATGTTTGGGAACGAGAGCCAGGGATGGGACGGAGAATCATGGATTGGATAGGGGCATACTTTGAAATATCCAACCTGTACCTTCCCTCATGGAAGGTTCTAGTCAAACAAGGGGACTAATGATCACACAGTCAATGTAAAATGACAATGGTCATCAGTCCTTTGAAGGACTAGCACATGGATTTAGCCTAGACAAGGAAGTGCAATGTAGGGCCTTAAAATCTAGGCCTAACCAAGCCCGTGGAGAATGCTACTCATTTTCTCTACATAGTTTTCACTTTGTTCTAACAGTCTCTGGAACTGTTCTGAGATGTACCAAATTTTCCATCTCAACCTCAAGTTTCAGAAAGCACCAGGAATTTAGTGTCGGCTCCTTAGCACAAAACCAACACGCTCACTGTCACGGAGTTGACCCTACAGCGACCCTACAGGACCGAATAGAACTGTTCCCTAGGGTTTCTGAGGCAGTCAGTCTTTAGGGGAGCAGACCACCTCATCTTTCTCCCACCACAGAGGATCTGTTGGGTTCAAACTACTGACATTTTAGGTAATAGTTGGGTGCTTACCCACTGTGCCGCCAGGGTTTCTTGAATTAGCACAAAGTCCCATATTAAACATGCCAGCCCTTAATACCCCATTAAAGATGCTTTTAAAATAAACAAAACAGGAGAATGAAGTGCCACGAGCCATCCTTGTACTCACCAGGCCCTCACTACTGTGCTCTGTTGTTGTTAAGTGCCATCGAATCAGTTCCAACCCATAGCGACCCTGTACAGGGTTTCCAAGGAGCAACTGGTGAGCTTGAACCATCGACTTTGCAGTTCAAACGGTTTTGCAGTCTGGCACATTAACCCACAGTGCCACCCCAGGACTATGCTCTCAGACCCTGCATTTCAATGTGGCCCACAGAGCAGCAGCATCTTCTAGGAGCTTATTTGGAAATGCAGAGAGTGTCAGGCCCTACTCTGATCAACTGAATCAGAATATTCATTTTAACAAGCTCGGTTCACGAGGCCATCCATCTGCTTCTTAAAGACTGTGAAGTTTGTCTTACGGCCACGCAATAAGCCTGCTTTTTCACAGACTGCAAGGTCTGCATCAAGAGTTTATATGGCGAGAGAAGACCTAGAGAGTTGCCTTTGAGTAATATATTTATCCATGTCTTTATGAAGTTTGGGTTAAGTTCTGTCTGTTGAAAAGTTAGAGAACCACAGACCCTCCATGAGTTAAGAATATCTATATTATTATAATGAGGAGACCCCAAAAAGTTCAAAAGAAGATTCCGTTATCTTTCCATTCTATGTTTCCATGAACTGTTTGAAGACAGCACTGGGGAAGAGTATAACGAGGTCTTCTTGAGAGTTAAGCAACATCTCCCCACCCTTAAGGAGTTGATGTAGTGCCAAACCAGTCTAAGCAAGAAGCCTCCATCCCCAATAGCTTCATTCCATAGAAGTCCAAAATAGAACCAAACTTGAGTTCTCTAGAAAATTGAGTGGACAATGTGATACACCAGCATGTAATTTTTGGCGTGTTGTGGGTTGATTTATGTCCCCTCAAAAGTTATGTTTGAGTTCTAATTCCAGATTCCTGGGATGTAACCGTATTTGGAAACAGCGTCGAGGCAGATATAAATAGTTAACATCTTGGATTAGGGCCCATGAGTTAGGTTGGGCCCTAATCCAAGATGGCTGGTGTATTTATGAGAAGAGAAGAGGAGAGACACACAAGGAAGAATGCAATATGTCAGTGGAGAATGAGATGGAGTGATGGTTATGCACATCAAGAAACATCAAGGGTGACTGGCCACCACCAGTAGATAGGAGAGAGGCAAGGAAGACTCTCCCTCAGAGCCCTCCAGAAACCAACCCCTGTCAACATCTTGATTCAAGACTGCTGACCTCCATAACTGTTAGAGAATAAATCCCTATTGTTTTAAGTTACCCAGCATGTGATATTTTGTTAGAGAAGCTCAGGAAACTGGGGACTTTCCTTTAAAAGTTCCTCTCCTGGTTTAGAACCTGAATTGCAACTTCAAAACCTGTCTTTTCTAGTAGACCATAGCAATGAGAAAGAACATCAAGATGCACAATAAAGAACCTGTCAACAGGTATACAGTTCCTTGTTGATCAGTTATTAAGCAAACAGAGGGGTTTGTTTGTACCTTGTCTCCATTGATTTAAACTGTGACTCATGAAAAATGAAATTAGCAAATGTTACAAGTATCCTGTAACTCTATCCCCAAATGCTTTCAGATAGCCTGATCATGTTGGGATGCTGGTCATTAGAAGGAAGATCTGTAGCTGACTACCAAAATCATTACAGAGTCATCCCCAGAACCCTCACTCTAAACGAGTACAAAATTCACCTCTGTGCTCCATGAATACTTATAAAACTCATCACAGTGCATGATTCATCCATCTCCTAGAACCTGGGACACACTGTACTCCAAGAATAGTTAGCAAATACAGTATTCCTGCAAGAGTTTTACAATAAAGCAAGTTTCTTGTTGTTGTTGTCATTGTCATCTAGTTGGTTCCAACTCATAGCAACATTGTATAGGTTTTCCAAGGAGCAACTGGTGGGTTTGAACTGCGAACCAGCACCACGCCAGGAGTCTAAATCACGTTTGGTGGTGATGCTGGTTGTGTGCTGTGGAGCTGGTTTGGACTCATAGCAACCCTGTTTCAAGGCTGCAAATCTTTACATGAGCAGAACACCTCATCTTTCTCCCAGGAGCTACTGGTAGATTTGAACTGCTGATCTTGTGGTTAGCAGGACAACTCATCATCTGCTATGCTACCAGGGCTCCTTCAAACCAAGCTTAAGAGAATATAAAATTTCAGGTACCATGAAAGATGACGTTGTTTCTCGATCAATGGGGCGGTGAACATATATTTTCCCATTCTTATGATCTTCTATAGAAAACAAACCAATCTCTGGATATTCATCCACACCAGGTCCACTGATCAAATACAGTAATGACATTGAATCAGACATGTTATTGAACAGCTGGAAGAAGAAACAATAAAAAAAAGAGGGTGAGAATAAATTATTGTGCAGATCAAGTATCAGGGCTAAGCATCGACAGCATCTTCAACGAACGGTACCCTCAGAGTCCACATCTGGGGATTTGGTACAAAGGAAACAAGAGATGGGGGAAGCATGTTGATGACTGTTTGGTTTGTGATAGTTAAGAATTGGAAACAATACAGGTGTCCATCAGTGTGGGGGGGACCACAAAACAGTGCTCTCTGAACATACCCTGGAATACTCTACAGCCTCCCAGAGATAGGTGATGGCTGCTTATGCTTTGTTTTAAATGTATTTTGCTGTGGTTGAGAATACACACAGCAAAACATACACCAACTCAACAGTTGCCAGATCTAGAATTCAGTGACATTGATGGCATTCTTTAGGTTTGGAACAATTCTCCTTCTTCTTTTCCACTCCCCCTGCCATTAACATAAACTTAATACTGCCCCATATCTCCTATCTAATCTTTTGAGTTACTGTTCTCAATTTGATCCCATATAGTTCTTAAAAGAACGCATGTATTAAACAAGAAAGGCAGATCACACTACAATGCTCATAGTGTGACCGCATTCATTTAATACAGATTTACATTAGTAAAGCTGTATAGAAATATCTGGAAGAATGCATGCCGGTTTTCACTATTGGTTTTCCCTTGAGGCAAAGAGGACAATAACTAACCCTACAGTGATATTTAGAAAGAGTTTAGAATGCTCCAGATTACTGTATGCTTTATTTGTCCTTGCCAACTTCACCTTTAAAACGATGCTGTCAGGTGGGTACTTAGGTGGGTGCCATTGTACAGATGAGCAAACAAGCAGGGAGGATACAGACTTTATACATAAGAACACGATATATCTGGAATCTGAACCTACTGGGCCCCACTGACTCTTGGGAACCCTTACTTTTAACCACTGGGCCTTGAGAACTCGCTGTTTGCTTTCTTTTATAGTAGGTATACACCATTATTATAAACATCAAAAAACCAAATGATTTTAACCATTTTTTCTAATAATCATAGAAAAATCAGAGCTGTACAGAATCTTGGTCACTCCATTCAAAACACAAAGGCCCACTGAGACTAGGAAGCAAATGGAATTAAAGGACATGTGCCAAGTGTAAAAATCCCACTGTTCCAACGTGTTCTTGTTTCTCTTCAGGGCAATGGTGGATACTCTGAGTCTCAGCATGAAAGAGGCAACAGGAAATGGTGGGGACTGCGGCACTATAGAATCTCCGGCCGCATCTAATGATTACTTCATGAGAAGGCAGAGCCCATGGTGCCAAGGCTTCTCCTTTTTAAATGTCACTAGAAGTACAGAACATCTTTAACATCTCCCTATTCTTAAATTAAAAAAAAAAAAAAAAACTTTTCTTTTGTCTTGTTTTTAGGTTCAACATGGCCTAAAGAAAATGTATTCGCAGACTGGAATTAACATGCCTGTTGCCAGGTGTGATTCTGATGCCATACCCTCAACACATATTCGCACAGAGAAGAGGCGTGCCTGGAGTCAGGTACTCGGGAAGAAGTAGAGTGGGTTCTAGAACCCATGTCTCCCAAGCCCTGGCCCAGTGTTCTCTCCAGTCAGGTGTCACTACCACAGATGTTGCCAAGGCTCAGCCCTTGACCTAGGAGATTTACCTCCCCAACGAGTTTGGGAAAGGGCCCTGGGTCTTCCTCCTCTAGCTCCAAGGTGGTGATGATCCATCTTCTCTTGAATCGATGCAGAGGCCGGTGGCTCTCTCCCTGGAAGTAATGACAACAGAGAAGATGATGGTAATGATGTCAACCGCTCATGTTTAATGAATATGTATTCAATGTGCAGACACTCTGCTCATGCTTGATAAACGTTCTCTCTCATCTCTGCAATGCCACCAAAGCTTAGAAATGGCATGGCTCTGTTCTCTCAAGAATTATGACGTCATTGCGGAACTCGGAGGCATTTACCCTTCTATGATTTCACATGGTTCTCAACAGCCTAGTGGCACAATAGTTAAGCACTTAGCTACTAACTGAAAGGTTCACTCCAAGGTCGGAAGAGAAGGCATTCTACTTGGTAAGTGTTATAGAGCCAGTTACTACTCATGGTGACCCAGTGTAGGATTTCTGAGGAGTGGTTGGCAGGTTTGAATGGCTAACCTTAAGAGCAGCAGTCTAGTACTTATCCTACAGTTTCACACAGGGTCTCTCCTCTGGGAAAATGAAGGTCTTGGAAACCCTATGGGACAGTTGAAATTGGCTCTACAGCAATATGTTCCCAGGATCATTTTAGGACTGACACAGACGTAGCATTAAAGATCGTGGCTAACTATGTGCCAACGTTGGAAGAACAATAGGCACGCAAATACTTGTTGAATGAATGAGAAAGTCCGTCTCTTTTCTTGATCCCTCAATTGTTCTGAAGCCATTGTGGGGAAAGTCTCCCTTCTAGTCTCTGATAAGCCTTTAATGCCTCTGTGTTTACTTGGCTCACTCCTTAACAAAGGCAGAAGGAGACACAGTTCAATCTTTAGCTCAGAAACTTGTTGGGCAAGAAAACACAGAATTACAGAACACAATAACATACATCTATGTTATTGTTGCATGCCACTGAGTTGGTTCCAACTCATAGAGACCCTGTATAGGGTTTCTGAGAAGCAGCTGGTGGGTTTGAATTGCTAACCTTGTGGTTCATAGTCCAATGCTGAGCCTATAGTGCCACACCAGAAGTCGATAGATAGATAGATAGATGATAGATAGATAGATAGATAGATAGATAGATAGATAGATAGACAGATAGATAGATAATTGATAGTTTGATAGATAAATAATAGTTGATAGATAGATATGGAAAGAGAGAAGACAGTGTCCAGGTGTGGCACTGTACGATAAGCACTGGACTGCTAACCACAATGTTGGAGCTTCAAACCTATCAGCCATTTGTTGGAAACCCTATACAGGGTAGCTATGAGTTGAAACTGACTTAACATTAACACACAAGTAAAAAACTTTATTTTTTGCTGTCACTATTGTTTTTTAACAGCTACTATCTCTTTGTGTTACATGTGAAACTGGCTTCTAGTCACATTGATTTGTATCCACAAAATGTCAATACAGTGAAACCTATGAGAACCAGAACCGATGGGGATGCCTACTTTTTCCAGATCTCCCAAGTTTCCCAACTTTGACAGGTGTGGTCTCACACTTTTCTATGAATCCCTTTAAAGAGAAGATATCTGTGTTTTCCTTGCTAACAGATTTCCACCTTACACAGTTCTGGATTTTGCAGATTTTATTGTATTATTGTTAATTACTGAATTAGGGCGTGAATTGACCATAAGGTTGTTGTTTTAATGACTTGCTGTAGCATTCATTCTGACTCACAGTGACCCCATGTGTGCAGTGTAGAACTGCTTATGGAGTTTTCAAGGCCGTGACCTCTTTGAAACAGATCTCCAGGCCTGTGATCTGAGGACCCTCTGGGTTAGGTGCCAGCCACTGCCTTTTGGTTACTAGTTGAGTGCTTAACAGTTTGTGTGACCCTTCCTCCCCAGGGACGCCTAATAATAATATGGCATGACAATATGGCAAAAGCTCTCAGTGGTGGGCGGGAGACTATATCCCGGCTGTGACCCTCAGTTACAAACTGAATCCAAGTCTCAAGTCCATAAAGGAGGAAACAGTGTGGCTATGCCTCTGGGCTAGCACTCTCTGGTGGGTTTCCTATTTTCACAGATGGCCAGTTTCCTAATTAGACATCAGGGTACCATCTACAATTCTCCTGTAGTCCCTCAAGAGTCTAAACACACGCATCTTGTAACAATTTCATTTTCTATAAGCCAAAAATAGGCAGGGCACTAAAGAAACTGACCTTTGAATTCAATGTCTAAGTAAAGCGTGGTCTCAGTTGGTTTATTAAGAAACTGAATTCTGAACCTCACCTTTATTTGATTGGTAAGATTATCTCTTTCTTGTTGGAAACTGTTGGCAATATTGACCTTAAAAATAAAAACGACATTAATTAGTAGGTAACAGACTTATGAGAATCAGATGGAAACTGCCTGAAGTCATACCAAATCTTCCAGGATTAGAAAAAAAAGGGAGAAAAAAAAAACAAAAAAACCTCTGCCCATAAGCAAACCCTGTTTAAATCGTGAAAGAGTAGAGAGTTTGAAACACTTGGTTGTGATACAGTCTCTTATTCTCAGCATCGCAGTTCTTGGTGACCACTTCTCCTCTGGAATTAAAGGAGAATTAACCAAAAGAATTCTGGTGTTTTTCAACTAATGGTTGTTGATGTCAGCTGCCATTGAATTGGTTCCAATTCATGATGACCTGAAGCCAAACCAAACCAAACCAAACCCACTACCCTTGGGTCAAAACTGTCCTATAGCAACCCTACAGGGCAACTCCAAAAGGTTTTCAAGATTGTAAATCTTTAGGGGAGAAGACTCCCTCATCTTTTTCCCATGGAGCAGCAGGTAGGTTTGAACCACTGACTTTTGGGGTAGCAGCCCAATGCTTATCCCACTGTACACACTAGGGTTCCCATGTATAACAGACACAATGAATGCCACCTGACCCTGTACCATCCCCATGACAGCTGGGATGGCTGAGTCCACTGTTTGAACGATTGTGTTATTCGACCTCATCCAGGGTTTCCCTGTTTTGCTAGCCTTCACTTTACCAACCACGGTCTCATCCATCTCTGGTCATCAGCCTTTCCCCGTGATGAGTCCAAAGTAAGCCACCTGCGGGTGGGTGGTGAGATTGTTGGCTTGTTGGGTTTTGCTCACATTGAAGACAATGACAACATGTATCCTACCATAAGCTAGATTTCTATTGACCTTGGAAACCTGATACAAGGTGGTTGCTATGAGTCGGAACCAACTCGACAGCATTTAACAACAACACAGTGTTAAGTGCCACTGAGTTGGTACTAAGTCATAGCAACTGGTTTCCAAGGAGCAACTGATGGGTTTTCACAGCGGGCCTTGTGGTACCCTAACGGAGAAGACTTTTGGAACTCTGAGCTCCAGAGCCTCAAACATCAGACCATTCAATTAACGCATGCTTCCTCATTAACGTTGGCGGTGAAATTAAGGGCCTGGCCACGAATACCATTTTAAAACAGAAACTTTCAGCTCTTGCAAAAGAAGGGATTCATTAATTCTGTTTTTAAAACACGTGTCTCTTCAGTTTGCTATCGGCTATTGTTGTTGTTATGTGCCGTGGAGTCTGTTCTGGCTCATAGCGACCCTGTACAGGGTTTCCGAGGCTATAAATCTTTACAGGAGCAGAAAGCCTCATCTTTCTCCTGCACAACAGCTGGTAGTTTCAAACTGCCAACCTTGAAGTTAGCAGCCAAATTAGTAACCACTGTGGTACCAGAGCTCCTTTTGCTACCAGTTAGGAATATGGTTATGTGTGCCACTCTCTGGGCCTCAGTTTCCCCTTCTATACATCCAGGCCAGGAAACAAGATGCCTTTACTGGTACGTGCGATTCTAAAGCTCTGTAAGTTCATTTGACTATTGAAAGCTTGTGACCCACTCAGCCAACAGCCATGTAAGAGTGTTGAAAAAGAGGTTTGAAATGGTGAATGTTTATACTTTTCCACCAAGATGCTTGAAATTCCCCATCATTGTATGTGTGCCTCATCTCTCCTCTCTGTATGCACGCCATAGAAATGCACTTGAGATGCACGGCTGGGGGATGCAGGGAGCCTGGAAATTGTCATATTTGCAGCAATGACTTTCTGAGCATTCTTATTGTATTTCCTTCCCTGCCAATTTTAGGCAGTTTGTCCAAAGAAGATAGCCCTCAAAAGATTTACATAATTCTTTCTATCGCGTGAGGGGAGGAGGGGACTTTCTAGAGGCTAGCTTCTTCTGCATCAGGATTAACCAAACTATTTTCTAAGAGAGTTGAAAGCCCCCTTAATGCCAAGTTGGATCTACGTGTCATTTGATAGAAGGTTCTACACTTGGAGCTTTTAACCAGAATTGTCAGGCTGCTCTGGCCAAAGCTGTGACATTTCTTGGGGGCAATATTGTCCAAGTCAATGAAAATTTTGTGTCTACAGTGAGTTTTCTTGGGGGCAACACTGTCCAGGTTAATGAAAACTGTGTGTCTGCAGTGAGTTTTCAAGAACTAAGCAGTGTTTCCTGAAACACTTGAGCATACACCATTTTTAAACGCTAACTTTCATCCAAGGAGAATTTTGGATCCTAGGTATTAGTACGTCAGTTCACTGTGGGTGCATTCTCTCCATTCCACTCGCCCAGGAGACCATTCTGTGAGGATGAGAATGTTCTGGATCTGGCCTGTCTACTAGGTGGCTATTGGGACCTTCAAAGTGACGAAGGCAACCGAGGAATCAAACTCCTTTGGACAATGGCTACCCCTTTGGACAATGCAGAGAGCATGGGGCAGTGGGTTTCTGGACGCCAGCACCTCACTGGTGGAGCTGGCAGAGGACCAGTCACGGGTCACCGTGAGTCTGACCCGGCTCAATGGCAGCTGCAATAGTTCACGTGACGTGTTTCCGCAGACTCCTGGCATGTTCTCCTGACAAGTCGCTCCATGCCTGTTCCCACGCCTCCTAACTCATTCTCTCCACTGAAGCCTGGGGACCTTTTACACAGACAGGTCCCAGTAGGCCTCAGCATAAACTTCCACTGGGTCTTCATGTCTCTGAGGACAGAGCCCAGATTCCTGGACATGGCAGCCAAGCGCAGCCTGCTCTGTCTCCTGCTCACCTGGCCAACTCCTCCTCCGCTTCTCTCAGCCCCAGCAATCTTCTGACCCTGCTTTTGCTGAATGAAGAGTTGGATTAATTATTACTGATTCAATTGAATAAATAATTATTCAATCATTACTAAATGGAATAATCCGGTCAGAAATGCTAACAATATACTAAGCTATCTCCATTCAGAATTTCCAATTTTAAAGGACAATACAGGCTTTCCTTCTCATTCCATCAAATTCATTCTCTTCAACTCTCGCCTTTCCCTGGATGCTAAGCTGGCCACAGCCAGAACTGAATTTCCACTGGGCTTCAGGATAGAAGTGACCAAAGTGGGGAGGGGCTGACCAGCTGATCACATACCTGCAGGACAGGCCTTGGACTCTGTGATTTGGCTTCAGGTCAAAATAATAAATCCGGGTGTGGGGAATTCTGAAGAACACCAACGCAGCCATTCAGGTATGCAGTAGGGGCAGTGTCCTCGTTTAAACCAAGATATCAGATGGCTGCGGCAGTGGTCACTGGTGTAGGTATTACCCAAGAACCCGTGGGCCTCCCCCTGTACCAGACTATACAGAACACAGTGTGATGACTCAGGGACCCTGTGAGCCTCCCCCCATACCAGACTATACAGAACACAGTGTGGTAACTCAGAGAGCCTGTAGGCCTCCCCCAACACCACACTATACAAAGCCTGTTGCTAAGTGCCACTGAGTTCGTTCCAACCCATAGAAACTCTGTATAAGTTTTCCTTTCCAGGAGCAGACAGCTTGATCCTTCTCCCTCTGAGCAGCTGGTGGGTACCCATCATGGATGACAGAGATGGTTTTACAAGGTTCTCAACCTATCTGGGAGCGCGGAGAGGGTGATATGGAGTGGAGTAGGTTATTGGTAGCTAATTTAGCAAATAAGTCAGCACCTATTGGCACTGGGCTGCAAACCACAAGGTTGACAGTTCAAACCCATCAGCTGCTTCTTGGAAACCCTATACAGGGTCACTATGATTCGGAACCAACTCGACAGCACTTAACAAGAACTAAATGTAAAGACCTTTGTTCACGAAAGGGTCTGCCATCCTGATTTCTATGGAACCACAATTTCTTGGTCTGGCTGGACCCCCAACAATCCATATGAAACCTCTTTCACTAGATGGTGAAGTACAGTCCACAGTAAGACCCCTACTGCCCACATCTACTCAAAACCCAAACACCCAACCCACTTCTCCTGAGTCAATTCAGACTCAGAGCAAACCCTGTAAGGCAGACTGGGGTTACCCCCAGGGTTCACAAGATGGCACTCAAGCTCACGGCTACATGTTTCTTCTGTGGATCAGCTGGTGGGGTCCAATGGATTTCAGCTGAGTGCTTGGACATTTGTTGTTAGGTGCCATCAAGTCGGTACTGACCCATAGCGACCTTATGCACAGCAGAACGAAACACCGCCCGATCCTAGGCCAACCTCAATATTGTTGCCACACTTGAGTCCATTGATGCTACCACTTGGCCAGTCCATCTCATTGGGGGTCTTCCTCTTTTTCTCTGACCCTCCACTTTACCAAACATGATATCTTTCTCCAACAACTGGTCCCTCCTGACAATATGTCCGAAGTATGAGAGATGAAGTTTGGCTATCCTGGCCTCCAAGGAGCACTCTGGCTGCACTTCTTCCAACACAGATCTGTTTGCTCTTCTGGCAGCCCCATGGCACAATATTCTTCTCCAACACCATAACTCACATGCATGATAAACACCCTTAAATGAACTTGCTCAGTTGCGTAGCTTTATGTAGCAGGGGAGCTTTGCTTCCTGATGAGACTAGTTTGGCCCATGGAAGGTGCAGCACAGTGATGGGGACAGGTCTTGGTCTGCAGTATGTTACAATCCATGCTAGCACAGGCTGATGCAGCAGGTGTTTGGACAAAATGACTGTGCTGTTTATGGAGAACAACTCTTGATGGGGCAAAATGAGATCATGGAAGTTTTCTGAATGCCAAGCATTCAAATGAGGCATCCACTTCAGAATAATGGAGCCCCACACACTCAAGTCTGTGTGAAGTCCCTAGGTGGTGCAAACAATTAAGTGATCTGCTGCTAATTTAAAGGTTGACGGTTCCAGTCCACCCAGAGATGTCTCAGAAAAAGCCTGGTGATTTGCTTCTGAAAAAGCAGCCGCTGGCAATTCTTTGGAGCACGGTTCTACTCCAACACACACGAGGTTACCAGGAGATGGAGTCGACTCAATAGCAAATAGTGTTGAGTTCGAGTGTAATAAAACAGAAATTGTTTGCCTGTGTGTTGTTTACTGCTATACCCCAGTGTCTGACCAGGATCAGGTGCTTCACAAATGCTTGTTGCAGGCGCACTGACTGATGACCCATTTTCACCCTGCCTAGGAAACCAGAGCTCTTTCATGTATGATATCATTTACTTGAAGTACCGCCAGGTTTTGTTGTTGTTAGGTGTCATCAAGTCGGTTCCAACTCATAGCAACCCTGTATAAGGTTTCCAAGGCTACAAGTCTATTGGGGAGCAGAATTATTAGCTACATTTTCAGGTCAGGAAATGAATATTAGGGAGGCTTAGCCGAGTATCCCAGACCAGTCAAAGCTGAGCCACTAGGATCAAGGAAAGAGGGATTGGTGTTGCCATCAGTATTCTATTGAAACCCCTTAAAACATCATCATCACCCATCTGTCATGGAGGCTTGTGTGTTACTAGGAGGCTCAGCAGGTTTCCAGGGAGTTTCCAAGCTCAGGCAGACAAGGAAGAAAGGCCTGGTAATCTAGTTCTGGAAATCAGCCAATGAAACCCTTATAGGTTCTAATGGTCCAGTTCACAAGCAATCTGGAGGATGCAGCAGGATGGGGCAGTGTTTCCTTCCATTGTGCACAGGGTCACCGTGAGTCAGGGGCCACTTGATGGCAACTACAATAACAAGGGAAACTGGTACTTATCGTAAAAGTAGAGGCCCTGGGTGACCACAGGGACAGCACACCCAGGCCCCCAGCTGGATGTGGATAAGCCTGGGTTCGAAGACAAAGCAACCCAATCCAGAGCCGAGAGTCTTTGCTTCTGTCCAGGGCACAGTCTCCCACCCGCAGCTGGTTTTAAGAGGAAGATGCCAATAATAATGCACCAGCCTCTTGACGTCTTTCCCTGCCCCCAACCCTGGAAAGCAAACTGGACTGCTAATCGAAATGTTAGCAGTTCAAGCCCAACAGCCACTCCTTAGAAACCCTATAGAGGGCTGCTATGATTTGGAACCGACTTGATGGTACTTCACAAAAACCAATGTATGTACGTGTAACATGAACCCATGGACTGCAAGTGAAAACAGAACACACCCAGACTTTCTCACTGCAATTGCAGTGGCAATTGGTGTGCAAGCCGGGAGGGGGTGACAGGGTCAAGCACGGATAAAAGTTTCTTCAGAAAACTCCAGTTTGCATGGCTATAAGCTATGTGGATACGTCCTGGTGATGCAGTGGGTCAGCACCCAACTGGTAATCAAAAGGCAAGTGACCCAAGCCCACCAGCTGCTCCACTGGAGAAAGACGTGCGTGCAGTTTCTTAAAGACGACAGCCTTGGAAACCCTGTGGGACAGTTCTGCTCTGTCCTGTCGTGGTTGATAAGTGCCATCAAGTGGGTTCCTACTCACAGTGACCCTGTATAGGGTTTCCGAGGAGCAGCTGGTGGGTTTAAAAGGCCGACCTTGCGGTGAGCACTCCAGAGCTGATCCACACCAGGGTTTATAGATTCTCCAGAAGTCGGCATCAGCTTGATGGCATTGGGGTTGAACGGGAACCTACGTGAAGGTACGTGCTGTACAAAGCAGATTTATGACAAGTCCTATCAGTGTGCTCACTGCCCCCCACCCAAACCTCCTGCTAGCACACACGCTGTGGAGCCCACTGGGGCTGGGGCCCACCCCTGCGCACCTGTAATAGCAGCAACATTGGCGGCAGCAGCGCCAGCAGCAGGAAGGTGTGCTCCCTGGAGTCCATGGTCAGCCCCTGGTGCTCAGCCCCAGCCTCTTCAGCGGGAGATGAACTCACCTTCAGCTCACCTTTAGCTCCCCTGCCACCTGGGCAGCCACTTATATCCCCAGTCACCCCCTCTTCCTGACCCTTCTTACATTTATCAGGGTGGGGTGGGCTGACACTCAGTTTAAACCTCACTGGCCTCAAACAGACTTCCCCAGAAGGGTGTGGGCAAAATAAAACAACTTCGCAGGTAATCTGATCCCAAAGGCTGACGGCTGAGGAAACTGAAAGCAGAGTGGTGCCTGTTTTGAAGTTGCTGCCTGAGGACTGTTTGTTTGTTTTTAAGTCTCCAAATTAGAGTTTACCTTTCCAAATCGCTTTCGGGAGCAGGCTTCATTAACCACTGTGTGCCCTCCTGTCTGTGATCCCATCCTCTTTCTCTTTTTAACTTTTTACTGTGAATTGAGTGATGGTTTACAGAACAGATGATCAGATTTACATCAAAACTCATACACTTGGCTTCACTCAGGAACTGCAGTCCCCTCAGTGGGACCTCATTAATCCCACCTCCTCCCTGTGCTTCCTACTTCCATTCCTCCTCCTTTCCCAACCTTTCTGAATTTTGTCCTTGAGGAAAAGCAGCCCTTGGGATCTTGAATGGTTGACCATTCTACAGTGTGCACACCTCACTGACATTGTTGGTCCCCTCTCTATACCTATTTATGTTGTTATTATTCAATACCATTAAGTCGGTTCAACTCACAGCGACCCTGTATAGGGTTTCTGAGGAGCCGCTGGTGAGCTTGAACCACCGGTCTATGCTTGACTGAAAACTGAGCCATGTGGGTGAGTTCTAACCCCCATCCCTCTTAAAACAAACCATTAGATGCCAGGAACAGAGGACCCTAGGGCCATCAAGGGAGAAGAGGGGAATGAGCAGGACCCTATCCAGAGAAGCAGCGACACCAGAGATGGAGGCAGAGATGGGGACATGGAGAGAGGGAGCAGTTGAGGACTCCAGATTCATGGAAAGAGAGGGACTGGGTGCTGGCAGCCAGGAGGCAGGCTTGTAGAATGTGCCCTTTGGTGGTGCAAATTATATATGCGTGACTGTTCAAAAAAAAAAAGGAGCTAAAGTGAATAGAGAAAATACTGTTATCTGATGGTACACGTAATGAAACAAGGTGTATGATTTGTTGAATGTAAAACTGATGATCTGCCCTGTAAAGTTTCACTCAATTCACAATAAAAACTTAAAGAAAAAAAAAAATTAGAAAACAACTTTCAAAAGGATTACTCTTTTAAATAAAGGAAAAGAGGAAATAAAAGCAAAAGCTAAATTTTTCCAAAGCACTAAGAAGTTTCTTTTACCCTCAACCGTGTTTCAGGGCTATGGGGTACCGCAGGCAATTTCCATAAAAGACTCTTTGAAGCTTAGAGGAATCTGCCTTTTTCAGTTTGGAGTCAGAGTTGAGGGAAGAAAGGGTGGGAGAGAGCTTTTCTGGGGGCAGGGCCTCTTGCCAGCCTGGGGGTTTCCACATTAGAATTCTGAAAAGAAGAAGAATCTGGGGCTCCACTACATCAATATTTACGGTTGTGAAGAACACACATTGAAGAAGAGTCTGGGGTTCCACTATATCAATACTTACGGTTGTGAAGAACACCCATTAAAGCAAAGTCTGGGTGACCTGAACCCTGATTCCCTTAACACATTACCTCATCCTCACATGACTCACTCTGTCCAGTGGATTCTGAGTCACAGTGGTCCTTGAGGACAGACTAGAATTGCTTCATGGGGCTGCCACTCCTGTCATCTTTACAGAAACAGAGGGTCTCATCTCTCCCACAGAGCAGCCAGTGGGTTCCAACTGCCATCCTCTCAGCAGCAACGCCCTTTACCCACGGGAAACCAGGGACCCTTCACTCTTACATTGGTGTTGTTAAGTATCTTCCAGTGAGTTCCGACTCGCAGTGACCTTGATAGGGTTTCTGAGGAGCTGCTCGTGAGTGTGAACCACCGACCTTGCTGGGCAAACCAACGGTTCAAACTGACCTTGTTCTTACAATTACCTAGTTTAAAGCAGCTAACAATTCTTAAACATATGAAACGGAAAATAGACTTTGTTATTTCATTGTACATTCAAAGCTCTATGAGATGCCATTGAGTGTTTAATTTGAATAGTATATTATTTAATTCAAATTAAGAACTTGTGATTGAAGAGAGTGATAAATGTAATTTTAAGGTCATTACATGAGTAGGCCCTGCCCCCAGAAAAAGAAACAGAGTCATGGAGTAGAAATGGATACTTCTATTGCATAGCGGTTGACTGAAAAGCTTGAGTAAATTAGTGTCACTAATTCAGAACTTGTAAACAGGTAAGCTAAACTATATGGAACGTTTGTGGAGGCGTAGGGATAAAAATGGAGTCCTGGTGTGACTGCGAGTTAATGTGCTGGACTGCAAAGTCAGTGTGAATGCAAGGTTGATGGTTCAAACTCACCAGCTGCTTCTCAAAAACCCTATAAAGGGTCTCCATGGGTTGAAACCAACTTGACAGCAATTAACAACAGGGGAAAAAAATAGAATGCATGGTGGTTAAAGTACTTGGCTATAAATCAAAAGGTTAGCATTTGGAAGCCACCAGAAAGCTGTTGTATTATAGTCTGCTTCCAAAAAGGTTATTAACTCAGAAACCCTATGTGACAGATTGATTCAGTTCTAAGGACTTTGCTGGCTGAAAGTGAAGACTTAAAATACTTACTGATGAAGATCAAAGACCACATCCTTCAGTATGAATTGCTCCTTAATGTAAATAAAACAAAAATCCTCATCACTGGACCAACAAATAACATCAAGATAAATGGAGAAAAGACTGAAATTGTCAAAAACTTCATTTTGCTCAGATCAACCATTAACAACCATTAACCAATGGAAGCAGCAGTCAAGAAATTAAACAACATATTGCATTAGGCAAATCTGCTCTTTAAAGTTTCAAGAGCAAAGATGTCAGTTTGAAGACTAAGGTGTGCCTGATCCAAGCCATGGTATTTTCAAAAACCTCATGTGCATGCGAAAGTTGGACAGGGAATAAGGAAGACCCTAGAAGAATTGATGCATTTGAGTTATGGTGTTGGAGGAGAATATTAAAAGTACAAACAGATCTGTGTTGGAAGAAGAATGCTCCTTGGTAGCCAGGATGGCCAGACTTCTTCTCTTATACTTGGGACATATATTATCAGGAGGGACCTCTATAGAAGGACATCATGCTTGGTAAAGTGGAAAAGAGAAAGTCCCCCAAAGAGATGGACTGACACTGTGGCAGCAGCAATGGGCTGGCTCTAATGTACCAATGATTGTGAGGACGGCGCGGGACCGGACACTTTTTCGTTCTGTTGTGCGTAAGGTCGCTAAGAGTCAGCATCTAATAACAACAACGAAGGAGCCCAGGTGGTGCAGTGGGTTAAATACTCAACTGCTGAAATATTGGCTGTTGAAATCTATCAATTCTACTCTATGCTACAGGGTTGCTACAAGTCAGAACTGACTCAGTGCAATGCGTGTGTTTGGCTTTAGTTTTTTTTTTGGTGGGGGGAGGAGGCAGGTGTGAGGGCAAAAGCAAGTTGAGGTTACCCTTAGACCCTTTCATTATGGATGCGGTTTTTGCTAAGTGTCTTCGAGTTGGTTCTGACTCACAGCGATGCTGTATAGGGTTTCCAGAGCTGTAACCTTTGTGGGAACAGCAAGATGTTAGAACAATGTTGCTGGTCATTCTGAGGCTGTGCAGAAAAGGCAATTGACAGCTGAACTTCACAAAATCACCGTCTGGGGAGGCGAGAAGGAGCCCAGGTTAGGCATTGGGCTGTTAACCTCAAGGTCAGCAGTTCAAACCCATCAGCCACTCTGCAGGAGAAAGATGAGGCTCTCTGCCCCTGTCAGGCACTCTGAGTTAGGGATTTGGTGCAGTTTGGTTTAGGGGAGGTGAGGAATACCAAGGAGGCACGCTGAGTTTAGAAGATTGTTTTTTATCTTGTAAAACATTGGTGTTTTAATATTAAAACCAATTAATTTTTGACCTTCTTAAGCATAAACTGAGCAGAAAACCAGTTTCCCACAGTGCAACCTTTCTCAGTGATGCTGTGAGGCCTTAGACCTGCATGTGCTGGTTGAATCTGAAATAGAAGGCACGGGAGTCCCTTCCTCTTCTGAGCATCCTTGGTTCCAATTCTTAAAAATAGTTAAGACTGCAACATTTGAGAATTAGGTTTATTCTGAACAGTTTTTCTACACGTTGCTGTGTTTACGTGCTGTCGAGTCAGTTCTGACTCATAGTCACACTGGATAGGGTTTCTGAGGAGCAGCTCGTGAGTTTGAACTGCTGACTTTGCGGTGCTTCTCCTACAGCACCACACCAAGCCTCCATATAAGTATTTAGGGAGAACATTTTGATTCTAGAAGAAGGTCAGTCCAGTGAGACTTTTAAAGAGACAGGGAGAATACAAGATCAACCATTGGGTAATCTTAACACGGTTGATTGAACCCTGATCTCCTGGTTTTACTAAGATCAGCGGGGATCAATCAGGCCCCAAGATGGTCTCCAGCCCTCTACCCCGCTATACCTTTTGAACTTTAAACTCAGCAAGTATAGCTTTCAATAGGAAAGAAAGAATTTGCCACTTTGTTTGAGAGAAAAACTGCCGGCAGGATTCATTTGGGTCACAGATGACTTTAGAGTGACTATTTGGTTTCGTGAGTAAGAAAACCCCCAAATCAAAGCAAAATGTGTGCTTTCCATCTCTGTTTGACACAGTGGTGGTAGTCAGGTGCTCTTTTCTGTTCTCGTTGGTAATGAAAGCAGCGATATTTTACCTTAATGGTCGTATAGGAACAGCTTCCAGCTCCCTTCAGACTGATTCATGAAGGAATGGGATTGCTTAGGGTTTAAAAGTTACTTGATTAAAATGAAGGAATAACCTACAACTAATTATCAACATTACACATTCTCACTTTGGATGGGGAGGGG